TGAGGCAAAAAAGGACACAGGAGGACAGTCAGGTTGCCGCTGCATCAGATGAAGGTGGAGGTGGTGAGAAGGTCAGATTACAATATATTTTTGCTAATGGATTAGATGTGGGTGGAGTTGAGGGAAGGAAATACAGGATAACTCCAAGGCTTTCTGCCTGAAAAACCGGGTAGATGATGGTACAGTGACTAAAATGGGGAAGACTGTGGGAGGAGCAGGCTTGGGTGGGAGCCGGGAGGACACAGCTAAATCAAGAGTTGTGTTTTACACATATCCAGTTTGTCACCCTCTGAGAGCACTCAGGAGAGGCTGAGAAGACAACTGCACAGACAGGCTGGAGTTCAGAGGTGGGGTCGGGGCTAGAGATCTCAGGTTGAGACCCACGGGCATGGTAAGGTGGTGGTTAGAATCACGGGACTGGGTTGCCCGAGGAAGGAAATGCAGAACAGAGGTCCAGGGCCCACAGCCCGGGATCCTCCAGTGTGTGGAGACTGGACGGAGCCATGGAGACCAGCAAGAGAGGGTGAGGAAGGTGGTGAGCGAAGGAGACCGCAAAGAGAGTCCAGCCTGGCCCAGCTCTCTGCTAAGCTACCTTGTTGTCTCAGGCAAGTTGCTCCCTGTCTCTAGGCCTCAGTTTCCTTTTTGTAAATGGGGGCGGGGGGGGGGTGGTGGCCCTACCCATCGCTGAGGTGGTTCCCCCTGGATCATTGTGTGATACTCCCGTGGCCTCTTGCCAGATGAAGAATCAAAGCTCAGGCTTGACCACTTTGTTTCCAGGCCTTCTACGATGGGCTCTCGCTGGAAGAAATACAAAATACAACAAAACATAGCCCAAAGTCTCACCACCGAGGGGCAGGGGCAGGGCAAGGTTATAGGACCTGGAGTTGAATCCAGATCTTGCGATGTGCCAGCTGGGTGACCCTGATCCTTACAGGTACTTATCTGTACAAGGCAGCCAATAATACCCACGACGAGGGGTTGTTGCTAGAAATAAACCAGGTGGCAAGCCAAGCACCCCACACAGCTCCAGGCATGTGGTCAATGCCACACTTCCTTTCTCCTTCAGGAAGATTTCTTCCCTGAATCAGAAGAAAAGGACTCCAGAGTGGCTCTACCCTTGCCGAGCAATGCAGCTCTCCTGCCGCTCTCCTGCCACTCAGCCCTGGGGCCGCCAGCTCTGTGCCGCCTCTGTCCCTCACCTGCATGGCAGGTGGAGTCTGCCAAGACTGACTGGTCAGCCGGCTGGAGCCTGGGGCCCTGTGGGGGCGGGGAGGCAGGAGGGGGGCATCCGCTTCTAGGGCTTCTAGGGAGCTGGGCCTGGAGCCTGGATTCCTGGCCCGGCTCGGTCACGGTTAGACTAATGGCTACACTTACCAGGCATCTCCAGGGTACCAGATGCCCAACTAGCGCTTTACCTGAGGGTTTTTCAGCAATCCTGCTTGCATGGTGAACATATTCTTATTGAAAAGATGAGGGACCTGAGGTCCAGAGAGGAGAAAGGCTTGTCTGAAGTCACCAGGCCTTCCAGATATTTCTCTTGAAGATGTGTCGAACAGGGGGGGACCCCCTTAAGTAACCTATATCCTGTGTGCGCTGGTCTCTGCTTCCTTCTCCAGCCACACAGGCCCCCAGCCTCTGCCCAGGGCTCACCAAGCTGCTTTCCCTCTTAGGTTCTTCCAGCCGGGAACTAACCCCCTTTCCTCCCAACTCTGCCCATTGCAAGCTCTGCCATCCATCAGATTTCCATGGAAATGCCCAGAAAGCCTTCCCTGGGTCCTAGACTAGGTTGGGGGCTCCCCTTTAACCTCTCACAGCAACCCCTCCTTGGCCTTTGCTGCACTTCTCACAACGAATTATTTCACAACCATAACACTAGAGAGCTATGTAACATTTTGTTGGCCATCCTTCTCCCTCCTGTATCCACGCATGATACCTGGCACATAGACAGCTCTCGATGTTTGTTGACGGGAGAACGACCAAACTTGTGAACATGAATGAGAGAATGAACCACAAGTGAATCTCCCTCTTGCAGTGATGAGCTAGCTGCGATTCTGCCAGGAGACAGAATACTTGTATAAAGGGCCGTCTCCCTTGGAGTCTAAATAACAGAACCTGGGAGAAACAGTGTCTTCCAATCATGCAGAAGCCGCCCAAGGAGGCATGCGCGAGGAGACCCCAAGCCATGTGTGTTGGGAGGTGGACACCCAGCTCCCTGCATGGGTTAGGTCCCCAGACCTTGTCTGTCCCCCCTACCCCCAATCTCGGACCCCAGAGGAGGCCGCCAGTCTCCTGGTTCCTGCAGGAGATGGTGGCAAGGGGGTGGTGGTCAGACTTGCCTTGTGTCGCAAGGGGAAGTGCGCCCCGTTTTACTTCTGCTTTGAGGCAAGACACATCCTGTGTGTCAGACCACCCAGGATTGCTCCTGTCCTAGCGCCAGCCACCAACTGTGGCCAGTGTGGAGATGAGGCACTGGAGAGCCTGGGAATGTGGCCCTCACTGCCATGTGGGGAGCCCAGGCCCCAAGCCCTGAAATCTCTCCTTCCGGGACTTGGCTGCCCCACCATGGAAGCCACCTTCAGTGGGCTTCTTGCTCCCATGCCCCCACTTCTTTCTCTCTAAGGGAAGAGCCCTGGGGGTGGAGAATCCCTGCGTTCAATCCCTCCCCCACCATGTGTGCGCTCAGTAACCTTGGCTAAGTCCGTCCATTTCCGAGACTCAGTTTCTCCTCGGAGGAGTGGGGGTACCACCACCTAGCCGCTTCCCTCGGGCTGTCCTCAGGCTTCTAACACTCGGCCCATGGGCATGCACTTGCTTGGAGTTCACTGTAAGAGCGCTTGCTATTACCTTTCTTCTGCTTTCTGTTGCTCCCTTCTCAAGCTTCAGACTAGCTGGTGCTGGACCAGGTTCCAGGGACATCTGCCAGACACATCCAAAACAGAATGTTTGGTCTCCATGAGGGGAGTATTTACAGGCCTGCCTTAAAATTATGGTATATTTTGTGTGCCATTCGGACCACTTCACAAAGCCGATGGCATTGGGTCTTCAACTCCGATTCCTTGAAAGAGGCAGAAGAAACACCGTCCTTGCCCCACCCCCAAACTTGAGTTCCAACCAGTCAACTTGCTCAGGATCATGCAGGTAGTGGGCATGGAAGTCAGACAAGAACTGCAGGGACTCCACCTGGTTGTGCAAGGTCTCAAAATATTTCATAGAACTTAACCCCCCGGGGTCTCACACCCATCCCCCAGACTCAGCGTGGTTTTGGGAGCTTGGACAGGCTGAAACTGGAACAGGGTTTCTGGCTCACTGAAGAGAAAGGGGATAATGAAAGAGGATCATTCCCCGCCTGTCCCATCAGCGATGCCGGTTGCCTCCTCGGAGCCTGGGTATGTTTAAAGCGGGCTCTTCAGATTTAGGACCAGGAAGAGCAAAGCCTGACAGGTGAGCAAGGTGTCTTGTCTCTGTCCCCTCCTCCCTAAGGTGCGACCCCAGGGCCCAGGCTGGCTCAGGGCTTCCCAACAGTGGACTGTTTGTCACTCTGGTTTGCACCCTGGAACTTGACAACACTAAGCTTCCCTCTGGAAATCAGCTGTTGAAAGTGTGGGCTGAGGTGGGCAGGTTTGGAGAAATTGCTCTCCAGTTTTCTCCCCGTCGGGTTTTGACAGTCACGTTCTCTTGTCTGGTCTGGTGCCAAAGCCGTCCCGCCCTCCAGAATCCCTTCCCCAACCCGTCCTCCTCACCTGCCCGGAGAACTCTTACACAGCCTTCAAATCCCAGGTCAAATGCCCCTTTCTGCAGTCTTCCCAGTTCCTCTGCATAGAATTAGGCCCCCTCCTCTGTTTCTATAGCGCTTTACATCTGTGTCCCTCCACCAAGAGTGCAGGGCTGACATGGGTTCAGTTTTGCATAACTGTTGGCCGAATGAATGAATTCAACCAATGCTAAATGAGCCCCTTTGTGTGACGGGCACTTGCAGTGGAGGACACAAGGATGAGCAAGATGCGCTCTGCCCTTAAGGAGGTTATATCCTGGAGCGCCTGGGTGGCTCAGATGGTTAAGCGTCTGCCTTCGGCTCAGGTCATGATCCCAGGGTCCTGGGATCGAGTCCCACATCGGGCTCCTGCCTCAGTGGGAAGCCTGCTTCTCCCTCTCTCTGCCTCTCTCCCTGCTCACGCTCTATCTCAAATGAATAAATAAAACCTTAAAAAAAAAAAAAGTTCTATGTTATTGGAGAGACAAACTCTATGTACAAGGAAAGAGAAACACAAGAGCCGTGCCACAGCATGTAAACACTCAGTATGGCCAGGATTCTAATCCTGCTTCTGTCCATAACTTGCAGTGTGGCCCTAAGCAGGTCCCTTAGCCACTCTAGCCTTGGCACCTAGCAAGAGTAATGGCTATAGGAGATTGGGCATGGGGCTGCCATCAAGAAAGGATTTAGAGCCCCATAATCAGGGGCAAGTGGCATGTATCTTTTCCTCCAAAGTCACAGGAAGGAGGGGCCTGCCATCTGGACCTCTTCCCCGATCAGAATCTAGTTCAGGGTGTCTCAACCTCAACACTACTGATGTTTGGGACTGAACAATTCTTTGTTGTAGGGGTTGTCCTATGCATTATAGGGTGTTTAAAAGCACCCCTGAGATGCTGGTAGAACTTCCTACAGTTGTGACACCCAAAAGTGTTTCCAGACATTGCCAAATGTCCCTAAAAGGGGGGCCAAAATTGCCCCCAGTTGAGAACCGCTGGCTAGCACCTGGTTCTCCTCCAGTGCTGTATCCGATGATCTGGAAAAGGGGTGGGGGTTTTGAGAAAGCGTCAGGACAAAAATCTCACAGGCCTCTGGCAGAGCCCTGCCCGCCCTCTCAAGCTTGTGTCTGCTCAGCTGCTGATGACACACAGGATGAGGAGAGGCAGGACATTTTGCCCTGTAAAGGGGTGCCTTTCCTAGGACAGCGCCTGGTCACACCTACCTGTTGCTCCCAGACTGCGGGGAAGAGAAGAACCCAGAATGTGAGCTACTGGGGTTGGATGAACAAAGACATTAGGAAAATGTTTCTCTCCCAGGATGCCCTGGGCTTAAAAATAAAATTCTCTGTCTCTTTTTAAGAGACACATGAGTATTAACGGGGAGAAATTGGGCCTGGATAAGCAATCTGGTACAATCCACAGTGCGCAGAGAGGAGGTAAGGGACTCAGCTCCCATCCCAGCTGCCACCAGCCACCTCAGAGACCGACAGGGACTCCCATCCCCTCTTGGCACTCAGCTCTCCTGCCAGTCGAGGAAAGATCTGACATCCTGTGATCCCCAAGGCTTCTCCCAGACTCATTGCCAGAGGAGTTCAGATGAAAATGTCAGGGCTCAGAGAGATGGGTTGCTGGTGGTCATAGAGCCACAACTCTCACCCACCCCTGTGCTTCCCACAAGGGTGGGAAGAGATTTTCTTCCTGAAGGACTATGTGCTGATTCATTGAGGAAACAGATGAATCTTGCTGCAGCCAGAGAAGCAGATGGAGAACAGATCTAAAGACTGGTAGGAATGAGTCCTTGGCGCCTGGCTTTGCCCCCACAACCCGTGCATCCCAGGCCAGGCACTGGGCAAGTGTGTGGCATGGCCTGAAAGCCAGGAGCTGCCCAAAGCACGTGCAGGCTGAAGTCAGGAGCTGTGGGGCTGGAAGGGAAGGAGCAGACAGGGCCTTCCGGGGAGGAGCCTGGAGGTGAGGAAAAGCCACCGGCCCCCGCTCAAAGTCACAGCGTGCTCCCAGCAGAGCGCCTGTATGTGAGGCCACATTCACATGTTACACAGCATCTGTACACCAGCAGGGCTGGACCACACACAGTGCAGTCAGCTGAAAGGAATACGGGACCCCTAGCCAGAGCCCCAGGTCCGAGCAGTGGCGATGCCTCACTGACCCAGCCGAGGGGGTCAGCACAGCAGGCCAGGCTGGGCTCTGGGGTCCCACAGGCCTGATTCCCAGCCCTGCTGTTAGCTGTGTGGCCCTGGGCTTCACTGCCTGGGCCTTCCACTCTCATCTGGTATGATGATGGTTGATAAGATTACCCGATGCAGTGGCACGTAAAGTACCTAGGTTACATTGCCCGGAACACAGCCAACACTCAAGAAATGGAGTGACTGGGGCGCCTGGGTGGCTCAGTCAGTTAAGTGTCTGCCTTCGGCTCAGGTCATGATCTCAGGGTCCTGGGATCGAGCCCTGCATCGGGCTCCCTGCTCAGCGGGGACCCTGCTTTTCCTTCTCCCTCTGCTCCTCCCACCCCACTCGTGCTCTCTCAAATAAATAAAATCTTAAAAAAAAAAAAAAAAGAAAAAGGAGTGACCATTACTATATGTACCTGAAATGTTCGGGCTCACTGTAAATTGGCTTCTATTTAGCTCTCTGTCCCACTATTTCCTATCCATGTTGGCAAAGCCTCACAGACTTCCTCAGTGTGTCAGGCGTATACCATGTGTTTCTTCCTTGTAATACCTCAAGTTTCCATTTTAATTATTTTGATGGGTCTCTTCCTACACAGGGTATATGGGCGTCCATGCCTATCCCATGTAGTACTTGGCAGTTCCTGGCCCAGCCGCGTGAGCTTTGGTGGTCCTGTGCCTTCGGCAGCCCCGTGCAGCCGTCTGTCTGCTGTCAGATGTCATTTCTCTCAGCTGTCAACTATGTTGCCTTTCTGTGTGTGGCTTCTAATCTGCTTTGGTCTAAGAATCAGATTTCCAGGCTAGTTGAAGCTGCGTGTAGAGTACTCAGGGAGAAGCCCAGAGAAGGAATCTGGAACAGGGTTTCTCAAATGGACCACTGAGAACAGAGTGTCTGTTTATAGTGGAGAGTCCCAGACCCCCCCGAATCAGAATCTCTGGGAGAGGCTCTGGAATCTGCAATTTATGCGAACTCTTTCACACGGGAGCACTAGAGAACTAACACAGCTACTACTTCTGCTTTGAAGCCTTCTTGGCTTATTTCCATTCCTTTGGTAGAGGGGAAGGGTGTTATGCTAGCTCATTTCTTTTCCCATCAGGTTTTTCTGCATCTCACACTCTGTGTGGTTCCCCACCCCAGATTCATTTCTACATTCAGGAGGCCGATGGTGCTCCTCAGGTGTCCGAGGGCCTGGGTGCACCCCAGCACAACCACAAAACTGAGAAATGTCTCCAGAGCTGCTCAGCTTCAGGCAACAACCCTGTTCACGACGAGAAGGGGCCAGGGTGGCATGGTCAGAAAGCCCTCTTCCTGCTCTTGGCAACGTGGCACCTCTGACAAGAGAAAAAACTTCTCAGCAGAAGTTCTTGGGACCTAGATAAGGCAGAACGACCATAGCAAATAGTTAGTGGAGTACAGACCTCTGGGCCAAGTGGGGACACTGGGCTCAGCCTCTTGACCACTCTGACTCCTATACATCCCACCAGGTCCAAGGCTACTTCCTCTTTAAAGACTAGCCTGTCCACTCCAGCTCTCTGATTATTCCCTTCTCTAAACTCCCGGGGGTCACAGAGTCTGGGGCAATTTAACAGTTGATGTTGAGGGAGGGCACAATGTTCCAGCCACTGTCCACGCTCTCTACCCACATTCTCTTGTGTGGTTTTCAAGACCCTGGTGATGGTACTAGTGTTTCATTTTACAGATGAGGAAACTGAGGTTCAGAGAGATGCAGTAACTTACTCAGACTCACATGCTGGCAAGTGGCCCTGCTAGAATATGAATCCAGCCACTTGCCTCCTACGCCTGCCCTCTCAACCTCCATACTACTGACTATAATAACCAAATGCTTAGAAAAACACTGGGCCTGGGAACTGGAGGACTGGTCCTTGTCCCAGTGCCACCTAGAGCCTAGGACAGGTCACTCCCTGTTTCCTTAACTGGGAGAAAATGAAAGGGTTGGGCCAGATCTCCAAGAACCCCTCTGCTCTAAGGCCTTGTCTTACTGGACCACCCTCATCCCCGCTTATACTGGGGTGAGCCCAAGGCATGTCATGCATGTATCTGGGCCTTGATGCCCCATTTCTGAACATTAATAAGCGCCCTCCATGACTTAATTTAGGGAACCAGATTGGTGATTGCATCAAGATCCTCCTTACAGTCCATGTGCCCCTCCTTTGTGCTGGACCCTGTGAGGGGCCCTGCCACGTGTACCTGCTCCCTTGGTCTCACCAGCTCACTCACTCGACTCTCAGTGACTAGACAGTGTGCAAGAAGAAATTCTCAGCCTACGGGGCTGAAAGGGGTCAGCAAATAATTACATTGTCACAAGCAGAGAAGAAGAGCAACACTCAAGAGAGGTGTGTGTGGGGGGCGGGGTTGGGAAGAAAGGTGAGGCCATGTCATCTCTATCTAACCCATGAGGAACCACACTCAGGAGACAGAACATTCTTAGCTCTCACAGCGAAGAAATGGCAGAGCTGGGATTTAAACCCAGGTCCTCTTGGCCCCAAGCTTCCTGCCTTTCTCTCTCCACCAAGGAATGGTTATTCACGTTTATACACCTGGTGTGGGGCGTCCAATCTGCACGCACACATCCCTCATGTCTAACCAAATCACACATTTCCCCAGGCTGGGCTCTCTCCGCATTTGGGCAGCAGGCATGGAGGGAGGTGGGTGGGCCTGAGGGACGGGTGATGGTGGAGTTGAACGAGGCTTGAGTTCTACTCCCAGATTCTGGCTTGGACAAGTGGGTGGAAGGAGGTGCTGCTGGTCAGAGAGGAAGAATGTGGGGGAACTAGGATTCAAGGGCATAGGTGTTTCAGGCCCAGCTCTGAAGGGTGAGTGGCTAGCATTCTACTCTCTAAGCCTTCTTTTCCCGGGTCATTTTTGGAAGAGAGGAGGGCGGAAAGTAGGATACTGAGGACCACACATGTCTGTGCCACACGATCTGAGCCGGACAGGCCAGTGGCTGCCACATCCAGCAACATCCAGCAGGAAGCTGGCTCAGAAACAGGGCAAAGAGGACTTTCCATCCGGGAATGTCAGAGCCGCCGGCGTTTGTTTACTGCCTGCTGGGTAGTAAGTGCTTTCATACACCTCTGTCTTCTGGTCCTCTCACCACACTAGCAGACAGTCTCCCATTTTATAAATGAAGGACGTTGACGCTTAACAAAGAGTGAAGGTTTGTCTGAGGGAAGGGAAGGTGAGAAAGGAAAAGAAAATGGGATTTTATCAGGGACCAGTTCCTCACCAGGAATCAACCCGTGTGCTTTCACCTATATTAACAGATGCATTCTCTCAAAATATCTACATGTAGCACAAATAGCTCCAATTTATAGATGAGGAAACGGGCTCCATTAAGTAACTTAAGAACCCCGTGCGGGGAGATTCAGATGCAACACCCAGCACCTGGCCCTTGAGTCCAGAGTTCATTCATTCACTCCATGTATTCAGCCAACATCATTTCTCCAGCATCTGCTATCATGCTGCACATTTAGGAACAAAGAGACAAACAAAATAGGCAAGCTTCCGTCATGCTAGCGTGGAAATGTGCCGAGTGTTGCTGGGGAAGTACAAGGTGCTGTGGGAAGACCTGACAGGTAGCCCACTGTGCTTCTCTGGAGAAGTAACACATGAGCAAAGAGCTGCTGAACGATGACCAGGAGTTAGCAAGGCAGAGTGGGCCTGGAGAGGAGGAGTGTTCTCAGCAGATGGAACAGCATGTGCAAAGGACCTGAGCCGCTAAAGAGTTTGTGATGTTCCAGGTGGCTGGAGGAACAGCCCGGGACCAGATTGTACATGGCTATGTCTAAGATGTTTGAAGTTCAAGTACCCAAAGACGTCTAAATAAGTTTAAATAAGTGGCGGGCACAATCAGAGTGGTTTTTAAATAAGACTGTGAGTGCCAAGTGAAGAATGACCTGGAGGGAAAGCAGAGATGGGTTAGGGGGCTCTCCTAGCCATGCAAGAGGAAGAGGAAGATGAAGGAGGGCTGCGCTGAGCTGGGCGAAGCAGCAGAGGGCCTGGGAAGAAGTGGGTGGATTCGCAAGCTACTGAGGAGGGAAATCAACAGGGCTTGTGTGGAGGGATTGGGGGGAGGGGGGTGGCAGTACCTGTCAGGTCCCCTCTATCCTGCAGCCCCTCACCCCTGCCACCAGCAGGTTAGGGCAGGGTGCTAAGGTTGAGGCACCATGCTGAATCTTATCCCTTTAAGAAGTGGGTTCTAAACCTTGGAGTCAATAGACTTCCTTTTTTTTTTTTTTTTTTTTTAAGAATGCCTTGACATCCGCGTGCCACACCTGGGCTCACCCACTTAGCAAAGATTCACTCCGCCAGCACAAGCCTGCGGCTGCGCCTACTACTATCTGCTCTGCACACCAGGTCTGAAAGAAACGATTTTGCTCTTGCCCAAGGGCCTGTGAAAAGACATCTTTCAGAAAATCCACAGCCAGACTCTCCAAGACAGTGAATTCTGCAGTTCTCCTCACCTTCTGTGGCTGCCTCATTTGCCACTATGTCCCTGGCGATGGGGCCCGACTGCCCAGCCGAGGATGGGACCGCCGCTGCCAGGAACCAGCTGGGGGCCAGAGATCCTGCATGTGGCACTTTATTCCTGCTTCTGATATGTACAGGTATATACAGTTGGTGTGAGCCTATGGTACACTATTTCACAAAATTATCTTACATCCTGTGCACACTTTCGGGCGGGAAGTGGCAGACGGCTCCGAAAAGCCCACGGCTGGCAGAGGGAAAGGATGCTCCCAGGAGCCACCCCCTCTCCAAGGACATTCATGGGGGCTGCTCACCCCCCGCCCCCAGTACTGAGGTCCTCCCACGGACCATCTGGGCCTCCCACCTGCTCTCAGCACTCGTTTCTTCCTGAGTCTTTCTCCTCGAGGGGAAGAACATTTCGTGGGGTGGGGTGGGGTGGGGGAGAACAAGCAGCAACGGCCCCCACTCACCGGCAGGGGCACTGCCGCCTGCCGCCCAAAGCCCGCCTGCCCCTACTGGACATGGACAGCAAGAGCCAAACCCTCCCTGCGCTTGGACCCGGGCGTGGCCTGGCCTCATGGGGCGCTGGCATGCATCTTCTCCAGGCAGCTTGTCCAGAACGTGACCAGCCGGTTGTCGCGGTTGATGCAGAAGTCCGTGAAATCCCTGAGCAGCCGATCTGCGAACTTCTCGTCCCCCGTGGCACTAGAGCGCCACGTCTTGGTCAGCATGGTGTTGTAGGCCCAGTTGTAGCCAACCCGCTCGTCACAGAACATGCTCTGGCTGGTGGAGCTCGTGGAGTTCCGCCGCCGCCGCTGCCCCGAGAACTTGCGCCTGGAGTAGGGCAGCTGCAGGAACACTGTTCCTGAGGAGCAAGGGGAGGCCCCGTGTCACCGCCACCAGGAGGGCCCCCCCTCCCCAGGCGGCTGCGGCAGCTTGGCAGACACAGGCTCAGTGAAGGGGAGGAGCCCCCGTGCACAGGCTCCCACCGCAGGGACCCACCTGCCCCACGTTTCGCCTGGAGAGTCTCACCTGTAACGTGGATGTACTGAGGCTTGTTCTCGGCAGGGAAGTTAAAAGCAGAGGCGGAATATTTATCTTGCACAAACCCAAACCTAAGGACAGGAAGACAGACAGATTAGGGCCTTCTTAGATAAAGGGACAGGGGGAGCAAATGTGGCCAAGAGGACTTTCTGACAGCCTGAGCTACAGGGACCTGGGAAAATCTCTTTCAAGACAGAACATTCAGGCTGCTTGTTTTCCCTCACCAGACCTCCTCCTGCCAGGCCTCCAGTCATCTCCAAGTGGCTGAGAACCCTCTTACCAGCTGCACTCCACACCCAGCCCTGTCTCTGCCCTCTACCCCTCCCCCTGCATGCCCCCCAGCTGTTCAGTCAGACCATCCCTCTGGGGACTGTCGCCCTGTCCCCTCCCGCATCTCTTCTCTGCCTCTCCCTGGAATCCACATCGGGTCCGACACCGTGCTGGGTGCCCATCCACATAAGGAGAAGGGGAAGGTGCTTATCTTAATTCACCTTAGCCACACCTCTTTCCCTTAGGTTCTCCCAGCTAAGCACATAGTAGGTTCTCAAAAAAGGCTCCAAATTGAAATAGAATGAATTATCTTAATTGAAATCCTCTTCTTAAAAATGAGGAACCGAGTCTGGGGCTCTCGGCTTCGCTGTTCCATTCTGGAAATGGGCAGGAGGAGCCACTTTTCATCTATGACTTACTCGATTCTGCTTCTCATCTATGGTTTGTTCTATTCCGGGTTTTTCTATTTCCATCATACACATTTATTACAGCTCTACCTGCTAAGTGCTGAAAAGGACGTGTTAACAGATGTGGCTCCCGCCCCGAGTCTGAGAGGTTTATGTAATGAAGGCAGTGATGTCGGCAGAACTGAAGGAGGTAAAACACCTGTCTCCTTGCGTTGCGTCCTCTGTATAAGCCGCCAGCTTCACACTGGCTTTCAATAATTACTTATCAGAGAACACATGAAGTCAAGGCAAGTTACATGGATCAGTTAACGTGCACAGCAAGCCCCAACATCTATAGGCTGATTCTACCATGTGTAGGAATGCCTCTGGATTTTGCCTTCCTTCCCCTTTACTTTTCAACCAAGGCTGTTTATTTACTCAGCATGGATCAGCCTGACCAGATTCTTGCCTCATTTCTTCCTTAGGTCACCAGGGAAGACCTTTAATTTTAAAATGGCAATTGAACCCCATGGTGCTTGGCCCCCCTCACTGTCCACTTGGGGAGCACTCGAGCCAGGACTACAGCGAGGGTGGGGGTGGGGGGCACCCATCCCACCATGTAAATGTGAAGGAGGAGCTGGGGAGCCACAGCAGGGGGGCCCAGGGAGGCTGGACCAGTTTCTTCTTTTTTTAAAAGATTTTATTTATTGGACTAGTTTCTAACTCTTTCAGAGATGAAACTTATGGGCGGGCTAATGTTTCATTTCAGAGCCACATTCCACCTAGAGTTCCATTCTGTGCAAAAGCTACTCTGGGCAAGGCACTTTGCTGGGTGCTATAAAGGGAAACAAAAATGAGAAAAATGCATACCCTTGCCCTCCGGGGGCCCCTAGATTAGGATAAAAGATGGACAGAGTATGTTGGGAAAAAGGGAAGGAGGGATCGAGAGAGGAGGGACCTGGGAATCTGGTGGAGCAAAGTAGTGGGGGTTTAGAGGAGAATGTGTTAGGGGGGAGATATAGGTGAGTTCGGTGGGTCTAGGTGGGGAAGAGAGCGCAGGTTTAGGTGCAGGGACATGCAGCGGAGTCCACGCAGTGATTTGTGGGGATGGGACAGAAGACATGAAGAAATCGAAAGGCCACGTCGCGCGTGACATCTAGCCAGCAAAATCCAATCACCACCCAATGATATCCAAGGGAAGTGTCAAACCTGCTTATAACTCATCAGTTGGCTGGGGTCTTCCTAATGATAACCCCTGCCTACCCAGGGCTTCCTAGGTGCCAGGAACTCCGGAGAACCCTCCCAACAACCCAGTGAGTGGTGAGAAAACAAAGGTGAAGCAGTTCCAGAACTTGCTCACGGTTCCTCTGCTGCATGCTGGTGGAGGCATGCTTCCCAGATCGGCGCCCTTTGCCACCGACCCACTGCGCTCCCTACCTTCTGCCCCCAGTCGGCACCCCCTCCTGCTGGAAGGAAGAAGCCAGACTGTGGTGGGCCGGGGGCGGGAGCGGGGTGCAAGGTGGAGGGGTAACAGCTGAATACACTTGAATGAGGAGATGGCAGGACACTGCAGACGGTGCCACAAGAGGATTATGGAAGTGGGAACAGAGGACTTGCTACTGCCATGATTAACACGAAGCAGCAAATGAACACTGCGTGGTGCGTTCTAGAGACAAAGCTGGACTGGCCTGAGGGGTAGGCAGCTAAGCCCAGGGAAGCCCCTCCCTGGCATATATTCTAGTGCCTGTAAATACCTATGGACTTATCTATTGCTTTTTAACCCCCATTATCTTCTCAGCATGTGTCAAGGGGCTCTTGAAGCGTTTTAGTTTTTCATCTCATGTCATCTCCTGGACAGCTTGGCTCAAGGTCTAGTTGGAGGCTAAGGAGGGAGCTCTGTGCTTTCCCCTCAACTGGAAGAAGGTAATGTGGTCTGGAAAACAACAGCTACAGAGATTGGAGGGCTAATGCTTATCTTTGAAACCAAGGCAAAGGGTCCTGCAGGGTATTGGCAGCGAGTCGCTCTTTGGTGAACTAGATCCGCTTCCCCAGAAATGAAACAAACTGGGTTTGGGTTTGGTGACTGACGCTCACGACAGTCACTGACGCCCTCCCATGATGCCCTCTTGCTAGGGGACAAACCTGTGTGCTATGGCTTCCTGGAAAAGGTGCATTCGATCCCAGTACGTTTCCGGTTCGAAGCCTGAAAGGAGAAAAAAATAAATGCCAGGGTGTGATCCCAAGGTTTGTAAATCTCCCTGGGTCTGGCCTTCTGTACCCTTCACTTCTCTGGGCCATTCTTCCCCCTTGAGCTTAAGCGTGGCTTTCCACACTACCTGCTTTTGAGAGACCAGCCGCCGTCCCAAGGAACAAAGGTGCATTCTCACCACCCCTTCCCTGAAGCTCTATTAGGGTCTAGAAAGGCACTGAATTGGAGTCCTCAGCAACCAGTGTGAGCTACCAGAACTCGAGGTAAGACTGATTCTAATGACTTCCTATGCCAAAAGTGGAAAGGAACATGATATTAAAATACAAACAAAAAGATAAGCTTTAAATGCATGTTATCTGCTTCTAAGGAGAAAAGAAGAAAAAATTTATTACCCATCCTCCATTTCCCTACAAGGAAAGACAATAGTACAAGCTCCATTTTAGGGGTGGGGAAATTGAAGCAAATAAATATAAACACTATTTTTGGAAAAGTGATGGGCTGGGGAGGGCAGGGGAGCAGACGAGTGCCTCCCCCCATCGCCCACATCATGGCTCCAGCCTCGCTCCTTCTGCGGTGCTGGTGTGAAGACCAAGAGCTGACGAGGAGGTGGAGCGCTGAGGCAGGCTGTCGCTCGGCAACAGGCAACGGGCCAGCGCTGCTCTTGGGACTGAGATGCTGAGGGCTGGAGGAGCAACTGCACAAGACATCCTGAAGAACAGGGGCTCTCTACTCTCTCTACATTTGGAATCTTCTATCTAGAACACATTTGAGGGCTCTCGGCAACCAAAGAGCAAACAAGAAAAAAGACTTTGGCTTTAGGAGGTAAAAACACAGCAGATCCCTTGTCAGATTTTTAAGCTTTTGAATCCACTGTTATCGGAAGGGGAGGTAACAGGAAGAGAAGTAGCACAGGAGCAAGAAAAGTGATTTTTAGAGTCAAGCCCTTATTCCTTTAAACTGGGACTCCTTTCTTCAGCTGTAACCATGGCAACCAACAGAGGCTGCTGGTCCCGAAGCCTGGGTTACACCAGGCAGGGAAAACCAGCAGCTCATACAAAAATGTCCTCCAATGCCAGCCCTGCCAGCAATCCTGTGCGGTGACAGTGAAAGTGGAAAACCCCCAGAAGAGTCTGGCTGCTGTGGGGGAAGTGTCTCCCGAGCATATTAAAAACAGCAGCGTGAGGCGGTTGCCTGGCTGGAAATCATCAGATACGAATATAATCATGTGGCACTGCAGGACTGCAGTGGTCCTCTGTCAGCCACCGTGAGGTTAAACGAGAAGGGGTGTGTGTGTGTGTGTGTGTGTGTGTGTGTGTGTGTGTGTGTGTGAAGAGCACTTTGTCAACTCTACGGGGCACAGGATCTATGGCCTCTGGTGGCTCTGTGGGGCCCACCTCGAACCCCAACCATCACTGAAAATACTGTGTCTATATAAAAATGTCTTCTGAGGGGCGCCTGAGTGGCTCAGTCGTTGAGTGTCTGCCTTCGGCTCGGGTCATGATCCCAGGGTCCTGGGATCGAGCCCCGCATCAGGCTCCCTGCTTTGCAGGAGGCCTGCTTCTCCCTCTCCCACTCCTCCTGCTTGTGTTCCTTCTCTGGCTGTGTTTCTGTCAAATAAATAAATAAAATCTTAAAAAAAAAAAAAAATGTCTTCTGAGATGTAAATAAAGAATATACAGATGGGCCTCTGGAACACAAGCTGTTTGTACCACTGGGGCAGCCTGTCACAGGAAAAGCGCAGGAAGGTTTAGTGTGGCCTCCCTGACCTAGCGAGACCTCTCACCCCCTGGGCTGCTTCTCTTCTACCCACCATGACACAGACTTACACAGGCACGGGAAGAAACCATCTTCCTCACACCAAAAGTTCTTCCTTTCACATTTATAATTTCTATATCTGAGAAATGAAAGGGCTGCTGACGTATCAGCAGCAATTCTAACTTTTTATTTTTAAAAAGGTCATTTGTGAGCTCACCAAGAGCTCTGTAGGGGCTATTTATATGTTCATCGAAATAAGCAATTAATTAATGATAGAAAGTTCTGTGCTGTGTGAAGACTTGTCCTTCGATCTGTCCTACACCTGCCCTCAGAGATCTGCTGGGCCAGGGTGGAGCAGCAGGGCAGCCCCGCCCACTGTCTGCTCCCGACGGACAGACAACCCCGTCCCAGGGAAAGGGCTGTGACCAGAGTCCTGCTGTCTTCCTCTGAGCCCCCTCCTGCTCTGTCTTCCTTGAGATGCAGGACTCGAGCCACATGTGTGTTCCAGGTGCTGACACGCTACAGCTTTGCACAAGAGGACGCTGTAACCTGTTTTGTATCAATGCCTCCCTTTTTCTAGCCTGTTTACATGAAACAGCAGATTCAAGCCTCCCATAAGGTTCAAATTCCCAACCCCAAAGCCAGTTAGGTTGCAGCATGGAAAGGAGAGTGTGGGGAGAATACCAGTGCCACTCGTGATTTACAGTGTATCACACCCTCTCCCACCCACCATCTGCTCCAGGCCTCCTGAGGGTCTTCCCAAGTTGGCAAGGCAGCGTTAAACTTTATGTGCTCTCATTTGAGGAATAAGGAATTTAAGACAGTAAGTGACTTGTCCAGGGTTACCTGGCCACTAAGTGAAGAACCAGCATGAAACCCAGATCCTTTTGGCCCCCGTGTCCAAAGGCTCCCTCTGTGCCCTAGCCTGCCTGGATTTGATGCCCAGAAAGGTGGCCCTGGGGGAGAGGTCTTACTCATGGAGACAGAACGTCCAGAGGGGAGTGTCTCTTACTATCAAACAGGTGCTCACTGCCCTCCTTGAGCAGGCAGCTGGTGTTGAGTGGGATGAAGAGCTGGGCTCGGAGCGGATCGCCATACAGGTAACTGGGCAGTGCAAAGGGACCCTCCAGAACGGGGACCAACAAAAAGCCGCAGGAAGTGGCTTTGCGATGCCAGCCTTGGACCTGGTGGGAAGCACAGAAACAGTGTCACCTCCAAGTGAACTCAGACAAGAGAAAGTACTTCCCCAGGAGCGAAGCCGCCACCGTGGCAGCTTACATATTGATTGGCATGTTCATTTATTCACGTTCACTGGCTCCAAATGGGTCCTGGGCAGGAAAGAGCACAACTTAACCTCCTCTGACAAATACTTGAAGAACTGTGAGTTAAGCACACAGCTCCTCCTCCCAGCCCGAGCTGCTGCAACTCCAGTTTCTTCTGGAAGGAAGCGATTGGAGAGAACTATTTCTTGCCTCCTAAACAGCCTTCTCATTCTATAGGATGTTGGCGGAAGGTCACAGGATATAAGTTAAGTCCTTCTAAATTTGTCCTTTATCAAAAATTTACGAAGCCCAAAGTATCAAATAGGAAAACAATCCACTCAGCCTGGCTGGAAGGGACATGATGAGGGCGCAAGATGACAGTGGTGGCCTCTGGCCAAAAGCGATAAGCTCTGACCTGGCAGAATGAGAGTCTTTCTTCAGCAAACTCCCAAAAGCTGTCTGTCCGAAGACTCCAAACGAAAGTTAACTGGGGCAGCAAGACAAACCTCCCCAGCAGTACCATTTCCTTAGGGAACAGTGGCGATTTTCTACGTCTTAAGATACTTTTTGAACCAGAAAACTACGTATATTGAAAAAAACAAAACTGATGCATGTGGCTCTGGCATACAGATAAGATTTGTGTCAAATGTTATTTCAAGGGACGCCTGGGTGGCTCAGTCGGTTAAGCGTCTGCCTTTGGCTCAGGTCATGTCCCAGGGTCCTGGGATCGAGTCCCGAGTCGGGCTTCCTGCTCAGCGGAGAGTATGATTCTCTCTCTGCCCCTCCCCTGCTCGTGCTCCCTCTCTCTCTCTCAAATAAAATCTTAAAAAATATATATATTTATATATATATATATTAGTTTGAGCCACAACATGACTTAAACCAATATGACTACATTAAAAATTGAGGGGAACCACTCTTAGCTTTTTTTTCCCCAAAAACACTCATAACAACAATACATCAACAACAAAAACCAAGATCTCTGTTTGACCAAAATAATTTCTTCTTTCTTTCTTTTTTCTTAAAGATTTTATTTTTAAGTAATCTCTATAGCCAATGCAGGGCCCAAACGCACAACCTTGAGATCTAGAGTCGCGTGCTCTACCGACTGAGCCAGCCATGTGGCCCTGCCCAAAATAATTTCTAAGGCTCTTTTTATTTTACGTAAATTTTAAAATGTCATATTTTAATATAATAAATATTACATATTATAAAATTACATAATAAAATGTGATTTATAACAAATTTGGACACTACCTTAAAATAATAATTAATCTACACTAGAGATTTCTAAAAACTTAACAAAATACCGTTGACCCTTGAACAACACAGGAGTTAGGGGCACCAACATCCTATGCAGTCAAAAATCTGAGCATACTTTTGACTCCCCCAAAACTTAACTACTAATAGCTTACTGTTGACCAGAAGCCTTACCAAGAAGATACACAGCTGATTAACATATATTTGTATGTTATGAGTATTATGTACTGTAGGCTTACAATAAAGTAAGCTAGAGAAAGAAAATGTTACTAAGAAAATCATAAGGAAGGGGCGCCTGGGTGGCTCAGATGGTTAAGCGTCTGCCTTTGGCTCAGGTCACGATCCCAGGGTCCTGGGATAGAGCCCCACATCAGGCTCCTGGCTCAGCGAGGAGCCTGCTTCTCCCTCTCCCTCTGCCTCTCTCCCTGCTCATGCTCTCTCTCTCTCTCTCTGTATCTCTGTGTCTCAAATGAATAAATAAAATTAAAAAAAAAAAGAAAATCATAAGGAAGAAAAAATACATTTACAGTACTGTATTTATATATATTTTAAAAATCCATGTATAAGTGGATCCATGCAGTTCAAACCCGTGTTGTTCAAGGGTCAAAACTGTAATGATAAAGGGATTAGCAGCTTTCATGGGTTTTACATGAATTGGTGTGAAAAGTGTATTTTGAAAAGACAGTTGCTATATTCCCCTGGGGAGATAAATACTCTTCTTCCTGCCAAACTGTGACTATATGTGTGTGTCTATGAATGTTACGGTTGTGTTGTTTGAGATAGGATTATCTGGTAGGTAGGGCTTCCAAGGAGAAGGCTTAGCCTACTGGGTCAGAGGGTTAGTTCTGGCTGGAGGGAGTGGTTATACCAGTGTTGACTGGCTGGAGCAGAGCCAGTGTCCTCTGTAAGCTGAGCTGGACAGGTGGCTGGGTGTCTTTTCTTTTCTTTTTTTAAGTAGGCTCCATCCCCAGCATGGACCACAACACAGGGCTTGAACTCACAACTGTGAGATCGAGATCTGAGTCAAGATCAAGAGTCAGATGCATAACCCACTGAGCCACCCAGGTGTCCCGCTGGACATCTTTTTTGATCTGGACCTTGAAAACATTCCAGTGTTCCAGGGTAGGGGTCCACAGAGGTGCTAATGCCATGCAGAGGCAGACTGGGGCTGGGCAGACGGAAACGCAGACAAATCCCTTCCCCAGGATATCATGCCCTGTGGGACAAAACTAAGCCTCTGAGCCCTGGATAGAAAAACGATACGCTGCCAGCATATGCTGTGCTCACTCTCTTTGGTCATCTCCTAGTTTTCTGTAAAGTCTTTCTGAACCTTCTGGCTGCTCTCAGCAAGGCGATGGGATGCTTGCGCCAGTGTGGGAGGTGAGCAGGACTCTGTTAAAGCCACAGAAAAACATTCTTCTAAGGCGAAGGGGAGAGTGTATTAAAGGAGTGGCAGGCTGCAAAGATGGTTCAAGAAGGCACCTGGAAGATCCTGACAGCCTGGCTAAGGAGGGCTTGTTCTACAGACACTGGACCAGGGATGGGGGTGGCTGGGCTGGCTTCTCAGTGCGAGCACCGAGTGACCTGATTAGACAGACTGGCCAGGCGGACTAGGAGGACGAAAGACAGGTAGAAGACCAATTAAAAGACGGCTCCTCAGCTTTGGCACTTGTGACATCTGGGCTGGTTAACTGTCCTAGAGGCTGTCCTATGCGATGCATTGTAGGATAATGCACAGCATCCCTGGTATCCACCCCGCTAGACGCCAGTGGCACTCTTCCACCATTTGTGCCAAGTAAAAATGTTTCCAGATATTATCAAATGCCCCTCTGCCTACAGGGGCAAAATCACACACTCCTCCCACCCCTGTTGAGAGCTAGAGTTAAAGGCAGTGATGTTCACGGATGGGGGACTGGTTAAGTAAACAATGATACAAACAAACAGAATATTCTGTAGCCCTTAAAAACAATGAAGCAAAACAAAAACACGACAGTGAGGCAGATTTATTTATACCGATACTGAGGATATATAAGTAATAGGACAAAACACATTGCAAATACAGTTGACCCTTGAACAACACAGGTTTGAAATGCATGAGTCCACTTACATGTGGGTTTGTTTTTTTTTTAATAAACAGAGTACTGTAAATGCAATGTCTCTTCCTTATTATTTCCTTAGTAACACTGTCTTCTTTCTAGCTTACTTTATTATGAGAATACAGTATATAATAAATAGAGCATACAAAATATGTGTTAATCGACTGTTCATGTAATCTTTAATGCTTCAGGTTAACAATAGGCTATTCGCAGTTAAGTTTTTGGGAAGTCAGAAGCTTTACTTGGATTTCTCACTGCACAGAGAGTCGGCATCCCTAACCCCCCTGCTGTACAAGTGTCAGTGTCAGTAGTCCAAGCTACCGTATCTGTTAAAAAGAAAAAAGGTAACAAAGCTTTGTATGTGCACATACTCTCTAGAAGTACATTCAACAAAGTGGTAGGGTGGCTGCTTTTATTTAATGATTAAAAAAATGTTTTTTAAGATTTTATTTTTAAGTAACCTCCACACCCAAAATGGGGCTCAAATCCACAACCCTGAGATCAAGAGTTGCGTGTGCTCTACTGACTGAGCCAGCCAGGGGTCCCAGGGGGCTGCCTGTATTTTTTCCTTCAAATTTTTATTTAAATTCTAGTTAGTTAACATATAATGTAATATTGGCTTCCGAAGGAGAATTTAGTGATTCATCACTTACATATAACACACAAGTGCCCTCCTTAATACCCATCACCCATTCAGCCCAACCACCACCCACATCCGGGTGGTTGCTTTTAGATGGAAGTCCCCAGGAACAGGGTAAGGGTGGGAGAGGGACTTACTTTTACTCTAGACCAGGGATTCTCAATTGGAGGCAATACTCCTCCTCCCTGGGGACATTTTTGGTTGTCACAAGGCGGGTGTGCTCCTGGCATTTAGGGTAGAGGTCACAGATGTTGCCCAACATCCTACAAAGCACAGGACTGTAGGCAGTCCCCACAATGGAGAATTATCTGTCCCTAGATGTCAAGAGTGCCAAGGCTGAGAAACCCTAATCTAGCTCCTTGTCAACTGTTTGAATTTTTTACTGTGTTTAAATTTTTTTACAAGGGCTATTCCAAAGAGTCCAGGTGAAAGGTAATGGGAGCCTGAACTAAAGGGAAAAAAAAGGGACATGAATCTCTACCAAGCACCCGCTGTGCCCCTTGGCAAGTTGAGCCAAGGCCCCGACCACGACACAAGGGAGGAGGCTCTCACCATCTCGAAGAGGACCGCGGCAGTCACGGCCATCCAGTGGAGCTTGATCTCAAAGGCCGCATTCAGGGAGAAGTTGCCATGATAGTAACAGCTGCACCACTCCAGCCGGTCTGTGCGGTTGTTCACGTCCACATCCAGGGTCACGGTCCTCTGCTCTGGGACAGTGGCCGCTGCATCAGCACATTGGAGGGGCCCCAGGAAAGAGAGGGAGAAGGAGTGGGATGAGGTGGAAGAACAACCAACCAGGCATCCAGATATAAAAGTGCAGAGTCACCTATTAGAAAATCACAGAAACTTCCTGCAAATCACCTAGTCCAGAGGTCAGCCAACTTTTCCTAGAAAGGGCCCAGTAATATGTTGGGTTTTATAGGCTACGTGGTCTCTGTTTCAGCCACTCAACCCTGCCATCACAGTGCGCTCACTAGCAGCCAGAGGTCTATAAATGAATAGGCCGGGCGGTGTTCTAGTAAAACTTTACTTTCAAAGCCAGAAGGATTTTTAGGGCAGTAAAACTATTCTGTGTGGGCGCCTGGGTGGCTCAGTTGGTTAAGCGACTGCCTTCGGCTCAGGTCATGATCCTGGAGTCCCGGGATCGAGTCCTGCATCGGGCTCCCTGCTCGGCAGGGAGTCTGCTTCTCCCTCTGATCCTCCCCCTCTCATGTGCTCTCTCTCTCTCTCTCTCTCTCAAATAAATAAATAAAATCTTAAAAAAAAAAAAATTAAAAAAAAAAAAACCTATTCTGTGTGATACTATCATGGCGGATACACGCCATTACCCATGTGTCAGAACCCAAGTGGATAGTGGGGGAAGTTGTGCAGGTGCTCAGGCAGGGAGTATATGAAAACCCTGTGTACCTTCCACTCAATTTTGCTGTGAACCTAGAAGTGCTCTAAAAATAAAGTTTATTATAAAAGAAACAAACAGATGGTAGTCCAGATTTGGCTTGCCATAGTTTGCCTCGCCATAGTTTGCCTCGCCCTAATTGGATCCAACTCCTTCATTTACAGATGAGGAAACAGCTGCCCATGGAGGAGAAATGCCTTGACCAAGATCAGAGTCGGAACCTCAGCCAGGCTAAACCCCAGATCTTCCTCCTCCAGTGACCCACAAAGGGACACCACTGGACAGACAGCCCAGACCACAGTGAGGAGGAAGTCTTGCTTTTCTGGTTTCAACCCAGGAAGACAATAGTTCTAGAATCTTTTCTCAAGAAATGAAACCTCACGATGAAGCTCAACACACTGTTCCATCAACTGTGTTGCTCAGATTCCCGGTTGGTATCAAACTAGTTCATCCTATCTGGAACTCTTGCTCAGAAATCCTATTCAACCCAAGATAGGGATGTTTGAAGGATGGGTCAAGTGTCAGTGGCAGTTCCTGACCAGACTAAAGGCCTGAAAGAGGCTCAGAAGTAACGGAAAGATCAGGGCTCTGCTCTGCCTGACTGGGCAGTGCCAGATGTAGGGTTTCTACAGACTATTATCAGCTCCTCATTCTCCCAGCCCCCACGAATCCAAAGGTATCTCTTTATCTGAAGCCATCAGTTTAGTTCTGGGTTTTGCAGGTAGAAGCCCTGAGTGGCTTTTATCACTGACAAGGATAAAACGGCTCTTGAGTCAGTGATTTTAATGAACTTCTGTTGGGAGAGGCAGTAGAGCTACAGCTAAGATGCTGATGGCCCCCGGGGCGGACTGATATTCAGCTGCTAGGTATACAGCTCATGCTCTCAAAACCAGAGCATGCAAAATGGGAAACGTTCTTCCTCTGGAGTTGGAAGATCTATGCTCTGCCATTTAGCCAGGTGCCCCTGAGGGCACTGCTTCAGCTCTCCTGGTTTAGTTCCTCATTTGCAAACTGAGATGGTGCCCACCCAGCTGCTTCCAGGAGGAGGGGTGAGGATCAAGGAAAACATGGCTGCCAGGAGGTTGCAGACTCACCCCTCTTGCCTTCTCCTTTAGCCACCCCACTTGCAACTCTCCTGTTATTCCTTCCTCCCCCATTTAAGCTACAAGCTCACCAATGCTCCATCTGAGGCCTGTCCATGACTCCCATGGACACGGCTCAGCTGCCTGGGACACTTCAGGCTAAAGAACATGGTGGTTCCGATGCTAAAAGTCTCATGAGAACTAGTTTCTGTCCCCGCCTTGTGTTCCTGATTCATGGCCCAACCACTACACAGTAGTCTTTTACTTAATAGCCCCAGTCAAAGGAAGAAAGCTTTGCTCTCTGGTCTTGGACGGTGTATTCCTCCCCAGGGTGCGGGGGAAAGCCCGGGGCACAAAACAAAGGGCACTTGATAAACACCAGCAGTGACCTCGCCATCTCTCCTTTCCCATCTGGCGTATTCAGTTCAGAACAGGCCGGTCTGAGGAAGCCCAAGGAAGTGTCCTGTTCAGCCAAGTGCTTACAGGCTCAAGAGTCCACTGGCTTTCACTACTTTCAGGGTGAGATTCAGCAGTATGGACACGGCCAGCAGGCTACTGATGTTGACAAAGGTGTAAGCCCCAGCTGAGCTGCAGCTTTCGGCGGCGAGTTCTCTGAATCACTCCTTAGCTGCATAAGAACAGACTTACTCATGTTGGGACAGTGAGATACAGTGAGTCCCAGTAAATAGGGGCAAACCCAGAGAAGGAGCTGGCTGAGGGTCCTTCACCCGGGTCACAGTGAGGGGGCTAACAATGACCTGGGGAGGGGATCAGTGCCACTGGAGGAGAAGAGACTGCAGTCTCAGGTAGGGCCCCAGGGATCAACACTCACAACCGGAGCTGCTGAGAAACAGGAAGAGAAGTCACAGGAGTGAGTGCCCTGTTGGGGGGAGCTTTCAAGAAGCAGCTGGCTCCCCACTTACAAGGAGTGGGGATGGAAACTGCTCACGTGTCAGGGTCTGGACCGAGGGGCTTGGCAGCCTCTTCTGATCCTGAGATCCAGTGGGGTGATCAAAAAAATGAGCCTGCTTCTCCCTCTCCCTCTGCCTGCCACTCCCCCCTGCTTATGCTTTCTGTCAAATAAATAAATAAAATCTTTTAAAAAAAAAAACGGCTGAGGGGCGCCTGGGTGGCTCAGTCGTTAAGCGTCTGCCTTCGGCTCAGGTCATGATCCCAGGGTCCTGGGACTGAGCCCCACATTGGGCTCCCTGCTCCTCGGGAGGCCTGCTTCTCCCTCTCCCACTCCCCCTGCTTGTGTTCCCTCTCTCACTGTGTCTCTCTCTGTCAAATAAATAAAATCTTTTTAAAAAAAAAATAAATCAGATAAAAAAAAAAAAGGCTGAGAAATCAAAAGGTGTGTGAGTGGGCTTAAGGGATGCGGTGCTGCTTCTCCCTGGGTCTCAGATGCCCCTGCAGCTTCACAGCTCAGCGACACAGGATGACATGAGTGGAGAAGGAGGAGTCACCACGGGCCAGGGCAGACAGGATGGGTGGTACCCGTCAGGAATATTAAAACAGCTTTCTGCTGAGAAAAACAGATTTCCAATTGAGAATCTGAAATGTTTAAAAAGGAACACGTCGAAATAAACAGAAAGGGGAGCAGGTCATAAATGATATACAGGCCTTCTTTCCCCTATAAATCATGTTAATTTTTTTTTCTGAGGCAAAAAAAAAACCCAACACCGGCGACGGTCCAATTCAAAGACAATTTCTCTTTCTCACTTCAGTAAATGACACAGCGAAAGTCTACATTCTAACCTGAAAAAAAAAAAAAAGCTGGGAAGAAGTAGCTCATACCCTAACAGAGGTCTGAGGGATGTTACTGGACAGAATGAGCAGTGATAATGCTGTGCTGGGTTTAAAAGGATAAGAAACCCACTTCCTGTGCGAGGGGTGATGGGAAAAGAAGCGGATGAGTGACATTCTACTACAATCATGGGAGCCCTGGAAAGCTAATAAAAGGATAGCTTCAAGAAAATATGCAGACACGTGAGATTCTGTCCGGTTCAGAATCAATGCCGACCCCCTAACACCCATGTGCAAACCCCAGGGGAAAGACGCCTGCTTAATAAACTACCTGCTAAAGACATAAATCCTCTCTTCTCCCTTACTCTCCCTCTGTTTTGGACAGATGACTTATTTTTCCATACGCTGCTCCTCTTTAAGTGCAATTTTTCTGACGTGCCTAAGAACCAGAGCTAAACTGAAATGATTTGAATCTCACCTCGAGCTTGGGACTGTGGCGGACAGGAGAGGGTCCTGCCAGCCTGCTGCAGGAGGAGACTTTGGAAATGAGGATGTTCATGCAGAAACTGTCAGGACAGCCTCCAGAACCAGGATGATGATGCAAAGGGGACAGTTCCTAGGCGTTTTCCAGAAGCAGTAACTCTAACCCAGGAGTAAGTGGGGACATTGGGCAACGTTGGGAGATATTTTGTCACACTGGGTGGTGGTGGTGGGGGTGTGTGTGCTACTGGTAACTAGCAGGTAGGGAGTATGTGGCCTCTTTGTTCCAAAAGACTTCAAGGAGGGACAGAGTCAGAAATGCAACACAAGGAAGAGGGTAAGTCGTGACTACCTGGGGGAAAGAGGAGCCACTCTCTTCACAGTTTTGTCTTCTCCATGCCCCCCTCAGCTCTCACACACAGTGCTGGGCATGCTGGGGTGAGGTTCAAAGCCACATCTGGATCCAAGTGAATCTGAGGATCTGGAAACTATGATGACTATTAACATTTCCATTCTACCAGCTACGTAAGACTTCCAATGAGCTGGGCATTTCCAGGCAAACTAAGTAGAAGGTGGAATTTCCCTGGACTTTGGTCTATGTTACATTTCCTTCCTTCCTTCTAGAGGGTTTTTAGGATCTCTCCAACCTGCCATTGAGGTGAATCTCATGACACTTTACCTAGAGCATGCATTGCCTAAAGACATTTACAGCCCAACCCATCAGTCCAGTCCTTGAGAGCAGAGGTCCAATCTCCTACCAGAGGTCACCACCATTCAATAGTGGGTGGGTACCCCTATCTTGGAGCTGCAGGAACCGAGGAAAGGAGGGAAGACTCAATTTATATCCCTTGATGTGGTGAGCACATTTGGGGAGGAAAGGCGGAGAGAAGATTCACGCTCAGCCTCAGTGTTTGGAATGGACAACCTCTAAGATTCCTTCCTCTTTTGACATCCTAGGTCACTAAGGTCCCGGGAAGGCTTCTGGCAGGTACTAAACCAGCAGTGAGCACCAGTTCACATCCCCTGTAGTCTGGGTGCTTCTTGGGAAAAGTGGCCCCATTGTCTATTCTCTCCTATTTGTGCAGGTTTAGCACTGTGCCCTGATTTGAGAGCTCTTGGACACTTGTTCATTGGTTGGGACAATAATGAGCTTGACCCACTCGGTCAGTGGGAGCTATAACAGAAGCCCACTGTGTGGACAGAGTACCAGTATAAAAGGCCCAGTGACTCTAATCCTGGTCCACATGACGTTGTCCCCTTGGCTGACTGACCCGCTCCCTCAGCCACCCACCAGCGCATCCCCAGGCCCCATCTGGGCCGAGCATCTACCTAGAAGCGCAGCTGCCTGGCTCCGGCCTCCAAAGCTGCGGCTGAAGGAGCTGTGCCTGCTTGCATAGGAGGCTGGCCGGCTGGGCAGCCAGGGCAAGAGGAAAGCAGGAATCTCGGAGTGCAAGAGCTCTTCAGCTACAAAGGCCACCTCAAACCACTTGCGCTGGAAGCTGGCGAAGTCCTCCACGGCTGTCGTGTGCCAGGTGGTGGGCTGCTGCATGGCCACTGGGAAAAGCAAAGGGGAGAGAAAGTGCCCTCAACACAAATGCCTATTTTCTTGCTGATGCAAGGCTGAACCTTGAAAACACGATGCTAAGTGAAAGAAGCCAAACACAACAGGCCACTTAAATGAAATATCCAGAATAGGCCAATCCTTAGAGACCAGGGTGGCCAGGGGCAGGAGGGAGAAGGAGTTTGGCAGTGATTGTTAATGGGCACAAGGGTTCCTTCCAGGGTGATGAAAATGATCTGGACCCTAGACAGAGGTGGTGGTGTTTGCACAATACCGGGAACATGTGGAATGCCAGTGAAGTGTTCACGTCAGAATGGTTCATTTTTATGTTGCGTGAACTTTTCTTCCATTAAGAAAGATTTTTTATCTTTTTTTTCAGTTTCATACCTCTAATTTCAGAGCAGGTAACAGTAACCAGGTTTTTTGGTTTTTTTTTCTCCTTGAAGGTAAATAACTATTAGTCCAAGTGAGAATTCAAGGGGAGAGGCGGCAACGGACACACTAGTCGCTACCAGGAAAAAACCCGCACAGCTCCACTTCCAACACGTTCTTGGATAAAAGAGCATAGCGAGGGGGCACTTGTTGCTTCATCTGATGTATGATTCCCGAAACCCAGAGGCTGAGAAGCCGTTTGTCTGCAGGATGGAGTCACTTCCAGCCAAGGTCCCCGTGGGCTCTGGGTGGACTGGAGCCGTGGCTCTGAATCCTGGGTGTCTCCAGCACCATGTGAGCCAGCTCTGACCTTGCTGGAATGGGTCCCCTCTTGGGAATTATGTTTTCTCATTGAAAGGAAAAAAAAAAAGTTAAAATGTATCTTAGAAAACTTGCTAGGACTTGAGTCTTTCTAGGGTAAGAAATGGGAGTCTAGCAAGTAAAAAGTGCTGTAAGTTATAGGTAAGAGCCTATCTATACTCAGAACCACCTGCACTGGATGGGGACGGGGGACGGGGCTCTATAATTAAAATTAGTAGCCAAAAAATGGCCCATGGGAATTTCCTCGAACCAGATTCCTTGGCCTCTTGTAGGTTTATCTTCCATCCACACTGTTCTGACCAAGAACATACCATAGCTTTAAGAAATACTCGTCACTCCAGTTCTGCTTAAATTAAGTACAAATGCTCAGGAAGTTGACAGATCTGTCTACTTAGAATACGAAGTCACACAAGGAACTCAAGAAGCACCATCATTTGAAAAAGCAAGCCACCAGGAAAAACACTTGCTCCTGTGGGCAACAGCAGTCGCCTCATCTCTGACCTCGGTCAGGTTCTTTGTCCATGACTATCTTGTAGAAATAGAAGCCGTAGATGAAGGTCCGCCAGACTTCACCAGATGCATGTGTGATGAGCTGTTCTTCCAGCATTTTCTAAAAGGACAGACATTGAAACTTTGAAATTCCTGTGGAGGAACATCTTAGAAGTGCAGCCCTCAGTTCCCTGGAGTCAAGGAAGTGACTGGAACATTGAGGAGACCCTACTCTTCACCCCCCATCAGCCATGATGATTGCTCTTGATAAATGCTGCTCCTGAAGTAAATTATATTATACAATGCAAATGCATATTATAGTATCATCAATTATTTCAAATATACAGGGAACTATAAAGACAATCCATGTATACCACCACGCAACTTCAACAAACTTAATATTTTGCTATACTGACTTCAGATCTTTTAATTAAAAGACAAAACAAAATGTTCTATGGACTCTCCCATGTCCCATTCCTCTTCCTCTCTCACCAGAAATAAATGGTTAGTGTAACATTATTCTCATGCATGTTTTTAATAATTTTATTATACACACATGTATTGATAGAGAATGAGGTATTTTTGTGAGATTTTAAATTTTAAATAAAGGGCGTAATACAATTATCATTTTGTATATTGGATTTTCACTCAACATCCTGCTTTGGACATTTGTCCATGTTGATACATGTCCCTCTAGCTCATGCATTTTAATGGTTGTAGAAGCATTGCATTGTGTGAACAAGGAAATCTGATTCTCAGGGAGATGGGAGTATAAGTAATAGGGCAAAGGCCATGCAAAACTCCCTAAGAGACCCTCAAAGAGAGAACTGATGATTGCATGCTTATTCAAATCAGTTACTGATTTTACGTTTCAGGGATGACAAGTCTGCTGGTCAGCAAATGGTACTGATTTCTGTGTGGACAGGATGGTGTGAACCACATCAGCCAACTTGACCTTTCCTATTCTTCTCCTCTCCAGTTTAATTCCAGTTCTGAACAGTGTCATTAAATTTAGCAAGTGTTTTCTAAGTGCCTACCATGTGCCAAACAGCATGGTGATATGGAAATGGGATGATAAGAGGTAGCCCAGGGACGCCTGGGTGGCTCAGTCAGTTAAGTGTCTGCCTTCGGCTCAGGTCATGATCCCAGGGTCCTGGGATTGAGTCCCAAATCGGGCTCCCTGATCAGCAGGGAGCCTGCTTCTCCCTCTGCCTGCCTTCCCCCGCTTGTGCTCTCTCTCTCTCTGACAAATAAATAAAATCTTAAAAAAAAAAAAGGTAGCCCAGCCCTCAAGGAGCCCAGTCAAGGTGGGAGACAGTGGAATGAGACAGGCAGAATCTTCCTTTTGTTGTGCTAAGTGCTCTGACAGAGCAAGGACAGGGTGCCAGAAAGTCCCTGCGGCAGAAGCTTGGGAGTTGACCAGAGGGAGATGGGGGCTGGAGGTCAGAGGGAAGGCAATCCCTGAAAATCTTACAGACTCCTCCAAGGTTTAAGAGGGTGGACTCCCTCCAGAAAGCTTCAGTTCTGATGCGACATTCTGCCGGGTTTTTAAGTCAAGGAAGGTATAGTGTCTTTCAAATCAAGACCTGCGTGTTCATCGACTGCAGACAGGCCTCACACTTACTAAAAGCAGAGCCTCACCAAAACCGGCAGGTCTCATTACTAGAAAGACAGCTGCTTCAGAGACGGGCTCTGGTTTCACGGGGGCTCTGAGCGGACGGTCCCACGGGCCCTGCCCGCGCTGTCTCACCTGCATGATGTCGATAGCCATCGCCTGCGTCTGGACGCCCTCCACGTTGTTCACCAGCCAGTGCACCACCTCCGCACTGATGAAGCAGCATGGCGAGAGGCCCTTCTGTTCCGAGAGCAGCTGGACTCCTGTCCTGAATTGCAACGTGGCGGGCACGGAGCAGGGTTATGTGTGCACGGTGGCAACAAGCAGAAAGAGAACATGAAAAAGGAGGGACTCCCACTAGAGCATTTAATATCTGAAGGCTCCGCACAGTACAATTTCTCTACACTATTCCTAAACCCACAGAAATCTGCAAGACAGGACAAAAGGAGGTGTTATGGGGGGAAAGGAGAAGAGGAAGGAAGAAGGATCTGACACTTAAGAGAATTACCTTTAGCTGTCAAGCATTATACTAGGTAATTTACATAATTATTTCATTTAATCCTTAGGCCAAACCTGCGACTTAACCACAAGTATCCCATTTTACAAACAAGGTAATAAAGGCTCAGAGAGGTCAAGTAACTTATGCTGGGTCTCACAGCTGGTGAACAATACAGCCAGCTATGAATCCACCAAATCACACTGTCTGAGCATCTGAGCGTCACTGTGGCTCAGGGCTGTGAGATCCTCCCGCCCTTACACTCCTACATGTGACGAACCACTTACGAGGGGTGTTTCATGGCTTCTAGGATCTCTGTCAGGGTGGAGGATGAGGTTAAGGAGCTTGCTGCCGGCTGCTGAGAGCTGTAAACAGAGTGTCCAGTCAGCAAAGCAAGGGGGTAAGAGCACGAACCTCAGGGACCACTCTCCCTACTTCTTACAGAGCCAGAGGCCAAGGATGACGTTGATACTGACGGCGTTCAAGCAAATCCTGGGCACCTACATCCTAGGGCCATCTCATGGGGGGTTTCCTACTTCCAAAGCGTCCACGTTAAGATAAAAAAAAAAAAAAAGAATCAAAGTGGTTTTGTGTCCAAACTTGCTTCCCTTAACAGGCATCTCCCCTTCTAATAACACCTCAACCACTTCTAAGAGATCTCCCTGCACAGCTCTGGTTTTACCCCCAAGGCTTTCCCCACCATTTAACCTCACCAGAGAATGCTAGGTAACCTGGTAAGAGCAGGGGAGGCAGAATTCCAGTATCATCACTTGTCAGCCGGAGGGACTCTAGTTTCCTCATCTGAAGACGGGGATGATATTATTCCTATCTCTCGGGGGTGTTGTGAGGCTGTGTGTAGAGCTGATACCCACAAAGCCCCAAATGGTAAACAATACTGAACAATAACAACAATGTCAACTTTTTGAAACTCTGAGACGTTAAAGGTGCAGGTGAAGGTTGAAGAGCTGGGAGGTGTTAGGGTTCGGGTTTGAATCCAGATCTGCCTGTTTCCAGAGCCCAGATCTTTCTTCCGCCTGAGTTCTTCCTCAGTGGTCTGGCAGTACCTTTAAACATGCGTAATACTCAGCAGCTGAGCCCAGATCACTGGGCATGGGACACTCCTAGCAGCCCACCATACCAAACCTGGGGCTTATTCCAGAAGCTCCTCAAGTCCATAAAACCTCTCCCTTTCCTCAGTCTCAGCCCCCTCTTCCTATTTGGAGGGTCCAGGACTCAGTGGAGCATTTCCGAATCTCAGGTTTAAAAAAGCCTGTGAAGACCCCCCCCCCCCCCGCAACAAAGAGAACTTCTTTCTAATGCCTGCGTCCCCACTACAAGAGTCTGAACAAGAGGCTGTCCCGTCTGCACGAACGTCTTCAATGGCAGAGAACTTAGCTCCTCTACGCAGCCCATTTCCCAAGGGGCAGTACCAACTGCTGATCAGTTCTTTATCACAAAATGGGACCTGTTCTTTGTCATTTTCGTCATTGGTCCTGATTTGTGTCATTTTTGGTCTTCTCATCTCCAGCCTAAGAATCCCCAGTTTCTCTTTTCTTCCAAAAGCAGAACAAAACCTGCTGCTCAATGAGGAAGCAGAGAAATGCACTCCCTCCCTAGGCAGGCCTTCCAATCTCCACGTCCAGAGCCAAAACTCACAGCCGGGCTTGACAGGGATACGGGCCTGGGGGACAAAAGAGACTAGAGAAGTCCAGGCTGTCTGCTGCCTATGAAGTGATCCTCATCCCTCCTGGCCAGAGGGAGTCAGGTGCCCTGCACCAGATGCAGGTAAAACCGGCAGACCAAGGGACAGAAAGGAAAGTGGGTGGCTGCTGGCTGGGGCCAGCCAGGTGAGCTGCCACGGAGGCCTTCCGCTCTGAGATGAAGGCATGTAGAAGTCACATCTGAGACCGTTTCGCCAAGGACTGGTCAGTCAGCAGGACAGTGAGGCAACCAGAACAGACTGGGCAGAACATTGTAAGGCTAACACAGCTGGGAAGGAAATCAAAAAGAAGTTTTTCAGGGGCGCCTGGGTGGCTCAGTTGGTTAAGCGACTGCCTTTGGCTTAGGTCATGATCCTGGAGTCCCGGGATCGAGTCCCGTATCAGGCTCCCTGCTCAGCGGGGAGTCTGCTTCTCCCTCTGACCCTCCTCCCTCTCATGCTCTCTGTCTCTCATTCTCTCTCTCTCAAATAAATAAATAAAATCTTTAAAAAAAAAAAAAAAAGTTTTTCAGATGTGACGAATCACATTAAAAGCTGGGGCTCTTTCTCAAGTAAATGAGGTCCAAGCAGCTTCTTTTTCCTCTGAATACTCAGGAATAGGAAAAGGACAGCTGTGGTCGGGTACAACCTGCTGCTCATTCATTTCCTCAAGCTGTCGATACTGACGTCCGCAGTCACGCACCAGGTGTCATGCTGGGTGCCAGACTCAACAGGACAGACTGGGTCCTGGCCCCTTTCCCAAAGCCCACTCCTGCACAATGTCTGACACTTTCCTGTGTCTCTGTGGGCACCTGTTAGCTGTCCGGTAAGGCAGGCAGGGCACAGATCCTGAGCCCCATCAAATAGGTGCTGCTAAGACCTGAGTGCCCCGGGCTTCCAGGTAAAACTCATGGCTGAGTCAGAACGTGGGTCTGGGACTCTGGACTCCCAGGCTCCACAGCCTTTGAGGCCAGACCATCCCCAGTGCCCAGAAGCATAAGTTCGGTCATTCTGAATCTCACCTGCTGTCACCGGAGTTTGCAGAGGGGAAGCTCTGTTCCCCTGAGTTCTGGGAGTTCCCAAAGGCCTGGCTGTTGCCTCTATCCACAGATTGGCTTGTGCTTACCCCCAAACTGGTGCTGTCCAACACTGGGGTGGCCGTCTGGTCCACAGACACCTGTAGGGGATTTGAAAATGAACAAAAAAAATTGTTTAAGGCTATTTATACACGTGATCCTTCCCATTCCTCTCTCCTTCCCAGTCCCCAGTGGTCCCTGGTGGAAGAGCTAAAGGGGTCCAGCCCAGGCTCATGAATTCCTGCACCCCACACCACGGCTGATAGGAAACCGTCGTTCACAGTGAATCCCCAGAACCAAAGAAATGGCTCCAGCACCTGACTCAAACCACAGATTTACACTAAAGAAAAATCTCCACAGAAATAGTAAGGAAGGCAGAAGCATTCCTGTGAGACTGAGAAGCGGGAGAGAGAGAACACAATTAGAGACAAATGGGTGAATATCCCAGCAAGTGCCCTCCCTCACCATGGCTTACCCTTTGCCACCCCAACCCTCCTTTCCTGTGTCTGTCTGCTAAGTGCCCAGGCTCAATCCTCAGAGGCATCTGATAGCTCCCTTCCTTCTCCAGCTTCACGTCTAAAGAGAGGCCTAGTCCTGTGGCCTCGCTCACCTCTGCCGACTCAAATGTATGTCCAAGTCACGCCTGTTCTCCCAGGGGAGGCTGTAACAGTCTCCCACCCGACTCCCCCGACTGCAGCCTCTACCCCCGAAGACCTTACCTGCCAGCCACCTCCATTTTCATCCTGCTAAAAAAACCCAGCTCTAATCCCATCACTCCGTGACTCTGAAATCTTTCAGGTCTCCCCATGAGCTACCAAACTTGCAGAGCCTTGTGGGTCCAACACAAACAGCCTGACCTGTGATGGCCCTGCACGGCCCGCCACTCACCCACATACACATTTCCAGCCAAATGAGACCCCGTGTGTTTAATCCCATCTGTGTGTTCCGCCGACCTGAGGTGCCCTTCCCTTCAACCACAGGCTAAAAACCCATCAGTCTTGAGGGCAATTTCAAATGCTGCTCCCTTCATAAAATGTCTTCTGACTCCACCCCAGCTCCCAAAGGAAAACCATCTCTCTCACTCTCTACTTTGGATCTCTATAACCCCCTCCTGGCAGGTGCCAAATTTTGCTTCATGTAATATTGTATCGGTCTCATTCCCTTTAAACGTCTTGGAGCACAGGACTATGACCTGTTCACCTAGAAGGGCCGTACTGTACCTCACAGCAGATATCTGGAGACTAGCAAGCCTTTCAGAGCACTCCAGGAAAAATCTTACTCTTAGTCCCTCTTACATGGGGTTGGTTCTTAAGTACTTCCGAATGGAGCCTTCTATTACCAAATCTTTTGTTGGATGTTGTAAAAGTCACTCCTTCTAAAATGGGGTGTCCCAACCTTGGCAACACTGCCATTAGGGGCTAGATGAGTCGGGGGGAGGGGGGCGCTGTCCTGTGCCTTATAAGATGTTGAGCAGCATCGCTGGCTTTCACCTACTAGATGCTGATAACACCAGCCCCCCATCACCACCCCCTATTCCCAGCTGTGACAATTAAAAATACCTCCAGATACAACCAAATGTGCCCTGGGACACAAAGTTGCCCCCAGTTCTTAAAGAACCATTCTCCTACATCAGGCTCAATGATTTGCAAAAAGACCACACAGACTTTGCTAGCACCATAAATACACAGAGAAATGCGGCAAGAAGCAGCTTGCAATTACCAATCACCATCTGCCTCTAACCAGCAAGACTTAGAAACAGGTACTTTACCATAAAATTAAATGAGAAGAAGCTAACTGAGGGGCGCTAGACCCAGCTCTTAGGTGCTACCTTCCAGACCCCTACAGTGGGGTTAACTCTCATCTACAGCACCTGAGAACTGCCCCACCAGCCTAAACTGCCAGAAATTTACATGATTCCTACAGCTTTATTTTAGCAGGAATGTGGTTCAGGAGTTATCCTCTGAATCAGAAATTGGCAAACATTTTTTGTAAAGGAGCAGAGAGCAAATTATTTTAGGCTTTGTGGGCTAGATGGCCCTGTTGAAACTACTCAACTCAGCATGAAGGACAGAGGCAGCCAGACAATGTAAATGAATGGGCGTGGCTCTGTTCCGGTAAGAATTATTTATAAAAGCAGATGGTAGGTCAGATTTGCCCCATAGCTTCCTGACCGCCTGTACTATATCATATGATGTCCATCTTTCAAGAGGCTGCTTAGATCTTAATACCATGAAAGGTTATGCTTCCCCTGAGCAAATGGTTTGCCTTTATCTCATGACCACTCTGAATCCTGGAATAGATATTTCCCACTTTTCTTTGGCTCCCAGAGAGTTCAGGACTGAATTTAGCACAAAACTCTAGATAATTTATAAGACCTCAGATGACGTCCTATCTTATGTTTTTCTTTTCCTATATTTCCCCATTTAGTCACATTTTATTCTGGAGGTTGCCTTTACTTTTTAATGCACCTGAAGTAACTTTCTGGAATAAACAGAAAGCCAAGGAAAGCTGGATAGACAGAAGGGCAGTCTTTGCGCAGAGGCCTAGAAAAGGCAAATAGAGGGAGGTGCTTGGTGTTGGATGTAACTCCATTAAAAAAAAAAAAAATTTATTTTAAAGTAATCCCTACACCCAAAGTGGGGCTCAAACTCACAGCCCGGAGATCAAGAGTCACATGCTCCACCAACTGAGCCAGCCAGACACCCCAGAGGCAACTCCATTTTAAGAACCTTGTCCCAAATCCTCCTTACAGAGGGACTCCATGTAACTTGCGTAGACACCCCCACCTCCAGGAGCTGCAGTTGAATCTCTCTGTCCTCTTTTGAGTAGGCTACAGTTAGGGACTTGCTTCCAAAGAACAGAGTATAAAAAGGGAAAAATAGTAACTTCATAATGGAGACAGCTGACAAATACTACATTACTAAGTGATGAAGGTTCCTGTGACCAGTGATGTGTGGATCCCATGTACCCCCTGGTATGATGTGATGAGAAGCATACTTCACCGCTGAGGTATTCTTGTCAAGAACCTATAACTCCACCATGAGAAAAACATCAAACCAGCCCAGAATCAGAAGCATTTTGCAGGATATCTAGCCAGGGCTCCTCAAGACTCTCTATGTCATTAAAAAACAAGGAAAGACTGAGAAACTGTCACAGACCAGAGGACACTGGGGAGACATGAAAACTAAATGCAACTTGGTACCCCTGGATTGGAGACTGGAACAGAAAAAGGACATTAATAGAAAACCTGGTGAAACCCAAATAAAATCAGGGATTTAGTTAACTAAACAAACAAACCCTCATCAGCAACACCAATCCCCTGTCTCCTTCCCCTTTCCCACATGCCCAAAGCCATGGGAGAAGATGAGGGATGGAGCTCCACCAGGGATGTCTTAGAGGTTAGCACCATCCACAACAGGCACCCCCAAGGACCCTCCAACTTGTGTGCCTGTCAGAGCCCCACTTTCTTATGCTGGAGGACCGTCAGCCACCAGGAAGCTGCCAGATCTGCCAGCCCAGCACTCTAACTGTACCTTGAGGGTGGGTAGACATAACATACTGCTATGTCTTACCAGGAGACAAAATGGGCTTTCCCCTCACCTGGCTCCTTTAGGGCATTTAGTGGCATTATAAAGGGACCCGTGACAGAATCTCATATTCAGAGAGCTCGGGAATAACTCCCAGTTCCATAGCCAGGTTTCCCAAGGTTTGTAATATCAGGGAAGGACAGAATATCCTTCCAATCAAACCTCTCCCCGCTGCCCTCATGGAGTTTGCCATCTGGGAGTGGGAAGGAAAAACAGACATTAGACAAGGAATGTCCATATTAGGACAGCTCTATGCCCAGGAGGAGCTCAGGATTTCTGATCTCAATTGAACCACATTTTCTTCACAGGTACAGCCTCCCTCTTCTATATGTCCATCCCAGCCTCTGATTCTGAGTGGTTATTTATATTTTCATATCTCAGCACCACTCTAAAAAAAAGAAAGAGATTATCAATAAATAGACATATAATAAGATAAAATAAATACATGAGAAAATCCAGTGAACAATGATAGAAAAAGCGAGAAAAAGAGTAAACAAGGGTAGGAAAAATGTGACATTCTAGATTCTCAATAAGTACCTCGATGATAACATTTTTTTTTTTTTAAGATTTTATTTATTTATTTGACGAGAGAGAGTCAGCGAGAGCAGGAACACAAGCAGGGGGAGTGGGAGAGGGAGAAGCAGGCCTCCCGCCGAGCAGGGAGCCCGATGTGGGGCTCGATCCCAGGACCCTGGGATCATGACCTGAGCTGAAGGCAGACGCTTAACGACTGAGCCACCCAGGCGCCCTCGATGATAACATTTTAAATGTCTAGACCTGTTCCATGCAATACAGTAGCTACTAGCTATATGTGGCTGTTCAAATATAAATTAATTAAAATAAAATGTAAAATTCAGTTCCTCAGTTGCACCCGCCTCTTGTCAAACGCTCACTAGTCATGTGTGACTAGCCATCTGTGTTGGATAGCACAGATACAGAACATTTCCATCAGGGCGGAAAGTTCTATTGGACAACACTGCTCTAGAGCAAAGGTGGCAAACAAAAATATGATAGGGACCGTAGATCTATATTGGCACAGCTGGCTATTAAAAAAAGGAAAGGAAAAGAAAAGGAAAGGCCACGGGCTGCTCCAAGGCCCTGTGACTGTTGCCGGGAAGGAAGCCAGGCCCCATGTCTAGCTTATTTTATAATACAAGACAGAAACCTGGTTTCTGTATGAAACCTCCTGATTTTTAAATATTTCCAACCACTTCAAAAATTAAAAATGCACAGCAAGGCTGAACATGTTTTCAGGAGCTGGGAATGAAATGAATGTCCTGCAGGTAAAACTGTGCTCCTGGCCAAAGTCTTGCACATAGATTTCTGATAAGAACCTGACTGACGGGGGAGGGTTTAGAAGAGGGTAACAGTTGATTAATATGACCCTAAGGTCCTCCGGGGGTGGGGGGAACTGAGCCCCCGGGGACATGAGCTTTTTGTTCACTCCATGTCTCCAAAGAGAGAAAACAGATCAAAGGGTAAAAAGTCCACTTCGGTCAGTGACTCTGACTTCCCAGGGCTCCCACGAGCATGCAGAAAACTGCGGCCCTAACAGCCGTGGCTTCGAAGTGCACTCTGCAAAAGCCTGGGGGCCTGCGGTACATTGCTGGGGCCATCACAGGGTGCCCCTGCTGGGGGCTGGGACCCTTCTCCAATCTCCCACATACTTAAGCCAGAATGGTTCTGTTTGTTGGGTGATAGTTCGGGGTTTGGTGTAATTTATCCACCAGGAAAAAAAAGGGTTCCACTTTTTTTGTTCTTGTTCCATTGTTTAAATAAACATTTTTTGTGTCTATCTCCCCCATCAGTATGTCCAAGACAGCACTTACTGAGCCACTCCTAAATGCCAGGCTAGGTGCTGAAGAATCAACAGGGAGCAACACAGACATGGCAGCCGCCCTATGGGTGCTTACAGGCTTACGGTCTCATGAAGTTGGGCACTAATCAAATCCCAGTCATACAAACACAGAGGTAGAACTGGGAGAAGAGCGGAAAGGAGGCGCACCGGAGCTATGTGAATCTAAGACGTAGGATTTGACTAGATGGCTAGGAGTTAACCAGGCACAGAGAGAATACTGTGTGCCAAGGCACTGTGGCAGGAAACCTGGTGCCTAGAGCAGTGTGGAGAAAGGCTCCTGTCACTAGAGTCCAAGAGTGAGGAAGAGGATGACAGAAGATGAGGCTGGAAAGGGAGGGAGGGCCTTGATCATGCAGGCCCTTCCAGGCCATCATAAGGATTTTGGCCTTTATCCTAAAGGAAAGAAAGGGTAGACTGAATGTGTACCCCCAAAATTCATATGTTGAAGCCCTAATCCGTAAGTGATTATATTTGGGGGTGGGGCCTTTGGGAACTGATTAGGTTTAGATGGGGCCATGGGGGTAAAGCCATGATGGGATTAATCATAAGAGGAGAGACCAGAGCTCGCTCTGTCTGCCACCTGAAGACATAGGAGAAGGTGGCCCTCTGCAAGCCAGAAGAGGGCCCTCACTAGGAAGTGAATGTATCAGCACCTTGATCTTGGACTTTTCAGCCTCCAGAACTATAAGAAGCCAATGCGCTGCTTAAGCCCCTAGTCTATGGTGTTCTGTTACAGCCGTCCAAGCTAATACACCGTGGAAAGGTAAACCCTGGACGCAGGCTGGGAAACAGACTGCCAAGGGCCAGGATGGAAGCAAGGAGACCATGCTGGAGGCTCCTTCAGGACCAGGGTGAGAAATGGTCATAGGGACTGGGGGTGGGGCGGTGGTGATGGAAGTGAAAGAGAGAAGCAGGTGAGTTCTTGCTGGACTGAGCCCCTGAGACCCACGCCTGCTTGTGAGAGTAACTGGCTGGGGGTCAGGGGATGGGGGAGGAAAGAGAACCTAACATCAGCTCAGGCCTCAGGTGGCAGGAGCCTGTTCCGCTTGACTGTGATATTCCTTCAGGCTCCAAACTACAGACTAAAGATATCAGGCTGACTTCTGAGGAAAATCTCATTACCAAGGTCTTCTCATGCCCTCCAAATTCTTGTGTCAAGTTTGTGATGATAAAAATTGATTTCCAGAGAGCAGGGCACAGAGAGAACTGTGTCGTTCTGTTCCAGTTATCAGACAGAGTGACGTGTTCATTATCATTAGAATGATGAACTGGTGGCACAAGGAACCTATTTTCCAAGACTGGTGCACGGCCCTGTTCCCTGGAACCCTCTGCGCACAGCTGTCTGTTTTAATTTTACAGGCACTTCCTACCGTGAGCAGTGTCAGAGTCTAGGTGATGCCCTCCTCCCCCTTGGCCACAAGGAACCCCTTCTGAGCAGAGAGCTATTGTGAAGGGCAAAAATCACAGGCAACACCCTGGCGACTCAGTCAGAGCTGCAGGACTTACTTTTATGAGGTCCAACAGGGTCACGCCAGAATTTCAGAGATAAAAGGCATAGGAGAGGTCACCCAGGCCCAGCACATTTTTACACACGCACACACTCAGGGAAAATAGCTGACTGGCCCAATCAAGCTGGTTCACTACCTGGTACCCCCAGCCCCTGTCTTCCCTCCCCTCTCCCACACATAGATACATGTATGGGGAATTTACTACGTGCCAGGGTCTGAGCTAACCACACAGATGCTTCATCTCAGTTCCCTCTCACAGAAATCCTACAAAGAAAACACAATTAGTCCTATTCTGCAGATGAGAAACCTGAGGTTCAGGGAGGTTAGTATAGCTGCCAAAAGGCTCACAACCAGTCTGACGCCAGAGCCTCCACACTGACAGTCTTTTTTTTTTTTTTTTAAAGAATTTTTTTTTTTTTAATCTACTTACTTGACAGAGAAAGAGAGAGTGGCAGGCAGAGGGAGAGGGAGAAGCAGGCTCCCTGCCGAGCAGAGAGCCCAACGTGGGGCTCGATCCCAGGACCCCAGGATCATGACCCAAGCCAAAGGCAGATGCCCAACCAACTGAGCCACCCAGGTGCCCCTACTGACAGTCTTTTAACATGTAGCACCATTCTCTTAAGGAGCTCATGACCCACTCTTCGTACTTCCTGGTCTGGGAATTAGGATGGAGAGCAGGGGCTGCAGGAATGGGGGAGTAGTCTCTAATAAGCAGCTGTCTGAAATGGACACAGAAACCTGGCACCGTAGGAATCCTATCCTAATCCCAGCCAGTATCTGGCCACCACATCCCATGCAACATGCAATATTGTTTCTGCCTCAGGCATTATTAGAAGTGTGTTACCTAGTTTCCAAATACGTGGGGCTTTTCTAGTTATCTAGTTGTCCTTGACCTGTTACTTAACTGCTTGGTGCACAGAAAAATGCTTTATAGGATTTCATTCCCTTGAAGTCTGTTGAGAAATGCATATTCTTTCTAATTCTCAAAACTACACTACAAAGAAGATATTTTTATTTCCTTCAAATGAGGAAACTGAGGTTCAGGAGGTTAATTCACATGCCTAAAGCAGCTCCCTGGTACAGTGCTGAAGACGAAACCTGAAGGGAGCCCTCTGACTTCAGTGCCCCTCTCCACGCACCGTGTTAGAAAACAAACACAGCAAATTCCATGTTACGTATATTTTAACACAACAATAATAAATAAAACAAACAAAAACAAATCAAGCACAATTTCATTTGTATCAGTATAGAGGATCCCTCACTATATATGAGCAGAGACAATTTTTTGATTTATGTGTAAGCTTAACAACACACTTGGTCGGTCATATAAACTTTATTCACGTGCCTCTCCCAACAGCTCATTTTTATATGTGATTTCCAACTGTGGGAACTTGTCATTTTTGTTCCATCTGGAATTCCACCATGTGAAGCTGTGGGGACTGCTACATTATTGCGGGACTTATAAAATAATTCTCTTCTGGCTCTGCTGATTTTTCTTATGTTAAATTCTAACCCAAGTCCAAAACTTTTCACCAGAGTCTCTTGTTAGAAAGTAAAAGGTTAATAACTCCACCCTGAGTTTGATTTACACCAAAAATGCAGCGTGCCTCCCACACTCAGAGATCAGAGATTCTTGATTAGAACTCAGATCCCAATCAGGATTTGGCCAGGGTCACACAGCTCACTGGGAAAAGGCAAGCACAGACCTCTGAAGACCTGCACAGACAGGCACAGCACCATCCGACCTCTTAAGAAAGGGAAGACTCCAATGCTCACTACCCCCTTTCCCTCCAGGCACAGTGTGCTAAATGGTGCAGGGGCTCAGCCACTCACAACTTGTGTGCCTTTGACCAGATAATGTATTAAACCTCAGTTTCTTTATCTGGAAAATGGCGTGATAACATCTACACCTCATAGACTGTTGCGAAGACTGTGTGTGCAAAGCCCTTTGCAAAGTAGCCAACGGAGTAAGGACTCAATGTTGGCTTTCTGACTTTCACCAAATAGGGATCCCTTAACCTTTGCCCTTGAACCTCCCAAGTCCTGTCCTCCTTAGTCCACCTGTTCCTCCATAAACCCTCTCAACTCTTTCAAATCTCTGTAACTAAGTCGATTTCATATACTTAGGGGCCTCGATAAAGGGCAGAGAGTCCAGTTTCTCTTCCCCTAGGACCTGTCAGAACAGTAATTACTAAAGCCAATTACAGAGCAGGGGTCACAAGTCAAGCCTGTTGGTCCTGGATTTAAATCCCAGCTCTATCCTGTACTGTGTAAAGCACAACGTCTTTGTCCCCCAATTTCTCCATGTATCAACTTAGGATAAATTAACTCACAGGCCATGTAGTGAGGATGAAATGAGAGAATACTACGTGCTTGGCACAGAGCAACTGAAGACTGTTTAGTCTTGGAAGGCCTATGGAGGTCTGGTCTAAACCCTTTATTTGACAAATGAGTTAAGGGAAGTCCAGAGGCGAGGTGAGCTGCCCAGGTTCATCCACCACTAGCCTATGACGGAGCGTATGCCTATTAATAAATGTTTGCTGTTTCTCCACCACTTCCTGCCACACTGCTATGAATTTATCAGGGTGTACTTGGAGGAAAAAAGTATTCAGTTCTTAAGAAAGCATATTTTACGTTGCTTATATTATATGGACAAAACATCTAAAAGGGAAGATGCTGCTGATGTGGCAGAGACTCAGTGGCAACCACACGGAACAGACAGGCAGACTTGGGACACACGAGCGTCAATGCTGATTACTGCTCTCCTGCTTTAACCATTTGCAACCCCCTTTGCCGCCGCCGACCCCGCGGAAGGGACTGCACACCTCTGAGACCGAATTCAATTTCAGCTGCCCTTCAAACTCAGTTTCAGCCCACTTCCATGTGTTCAGAGCCGAACAGAAGGCCTCTGCTGATGGGACAGGCATGCCCAGGCTGCAGAGCCCTCGGAGTTTGACTGACCTGTGGGTAGAAGGCGGACGACGCTGTGCGCGGGCTGCGGACAAACTCCATAAAGAAGGCCCCGTCCTGAAGTCAGAGGAGGAGGAAGCAGCAGCAGCAGCGAATGCGAGGGAGTGAAGGGGTGAGTGTGGACCCGTGGTGAGCCGTCGGGGGTGGGGTGGGGGGGGGTGGCGAAAGAAAAAAATAAAAATAAAAACAAGGAGGGAAGGAGAGAAACAAGGGCACGTGAGGGGAATGGAGGGGAAACAGAGAGAGAGAGAGAGATCCACCCAGAAGGACCATATCCAAATGCAAAGCATTAGCGGGAACTCACACCTTCCTGGGCAGAATGTCCCATCTGTGTGGGAGCAAGCACAGGGACAGAAGGTGCGTCCAAGCTCCCTCAGGTCTCATCAGAGCCTGGCTTGGATGTCGCACCCTCCCACATAGCTCTGAACTTTCTTCAGACCTATGTCAAGGGAGAGGAAAAGGCCACAGAGCTGCTTGGTGGGAATGGTGGGGGAAAGCCTTCAGGGGTTGCTTCCTGGCCTCCCGCCTGGCTGGGTGACCAGCAGCCCTCTTGGAGACATACAGAGGTTTGAGGTTTTCAGTTAATAAACATGGCAGCCAGATGGGAGAAGAGGATTCAACAGCAGGAAAAGTTGGGATCCAGAAGCAGCAATACCTTCTCCTCCACTGGTTTGTGTAACAAAATAACCAAGGAGTTGAGACATATATAGTGTCAGAAACATATGCATTCATTAGGTGGGGGTGGGGAGGTGGGAGAGTTCTGAAGCGGCCTTCCCCTCCGAACCCTAGTCTTGTGGGGTCCAGGCTGCCCTGTATTTGAAACAAAAATGACATAGAGGACTTTCCCAAAGACCCCTCCTTTCATCTTTCTTAAAGTCAAGAAGTGTCCTCTTGTCCCTTCCAAATATTTTTACTTTTTAGTTAAATTTTATCACTGAAATTTGGAAATGGCACTTGGTAAGTCTGAAGGTCGGCTTTCTTACAACTTTTCTTCAATTCTCAAAGTAGAATCACTGAACTATGCAGGGGTCCATTTTATCAATACTGCTGCCATTTCCCATCAACCACTTTGAACTCAACTAACAAACCATGGACACGCGTGGCTATGGAGATGCAATTTCAGGGACCACTCTCCGCACCCTAACACAAGATGCTAACTGGAAACACTGTTGGCATTTCTGAGTGTGTCACCTAGAGGCCTTCCCTTTGACCACCTCAAAACATCTTCGCTTCCCTTTGACCATCTGGGGATCTACATCTGCCACAAATGATAACCATCCAGGTGGATTTTAGCATTCAGTTGGAAAATGAGAAGAATGTTCTAAACGGCCATCTAATATTTGGCCATTGGTGCATTTTAACCTTAATGCTTGTGGTTCTATAAGTTTCCTACTCTCAGGCCTGTCCCAGACACTGGTTCTCATCCTCAAAGATGGCAGTAAGTATGGGTAACAGCTAGTGGGCAGCACGCAGGGTGCCTATGCATTCTCATCTGTGTCCCTTCTCTGCTGCAACATACAGAAGCAGAGGGGCTAATGCTGCTGAGATTTATGTACATGTGAAAAGATTCTTTCTTGCCGGACAGATCATTCTTTATGCAGAGACTATCCTTGGGACTATACCTAAAGTCACTTCCTAGAGCTGGGTGAGCAAACTACAGCCTGCAGGCTACTGGTGTATTATACTCTGTGAGCTAAGGGTGGGTTTTAAAATTTTAAATGGGGGGCGCCTGGGTGGCTCAGTTGGTTAAGCGACTGCCTTCGGCTCAGGTCATGATCCTGGAGTCCCGGGATCGAGTCCCGCATCGGGCTCCCTGCTCGGCGGGGTGTCTGCTTCTCCCTCTGACCCTCCTCCCTCTCATGCTCTCTGTCTCTCATTCTCTCTCTCAAATAAATAAATAAAATCTTAAAAAAAAATAAAATAAAAATTTAAATGGATATAGAAGTACCTAACACTTAAAAAAAAAAAAGTGCCTACATACAGCCTTGATCTTGCCTCTTGGCTCACAAAGCCTAAAATGTTTATTTAGATTTGCCAACCTCTGGTCTACAGAATACATAAGCTGCTTATAGTCTCAGTTGATACACCTTCTCGGATTTTATTTTATTTATTTATTTTTTAAGATTTTTATTTATTTGACAGCTAGAGACACACAGCGAGAGAGGGAACACAAGCAGGGGGAGTGGGAGAGGGAGAAGCAGGCTTCCCACCAAGCAGGGAGCCCGAAACGGGGCTCGACCCCAGGACCCTGGGATCATGACCTGAGCGGAAGGCAGACACTTAACGACTGAGCCCCCCAGGCGTCCCTCTTTCTCGGATTTTAATCCCTCCATCCTTGTGGGATAAATTTATCCCAAAGAAATAATAAGAGAGGTGGTCAAATAATTATGTGCATGGATGTAGTTTGCAGTATTATTTATAATTGTGATACCATGCAGAATAACTGTAAAAACTTAAGGAATAATTACCAAAACTTTTTAAAAATCAAAAACCATCTACATTTTTAACAAAAAATATAAATGAAGGTCTATCCATATGATGAAATATTATGTATTTTTAAAAAATCATGCTTTTAAAAAATACTTAACGACTAGAAAATTTTCAAGGTAAGGAAGTGAAATAAACAAACCCATAGATAGATCTACAAGTATAAAAGTTGGCCACAGTTTTGAAAAATAAAATACATCTATTGAATCTCCTTCATCTTCTAGTGATAGAGACCAGGTAAGAGAATGCACAGTCAGCTCACCGTGACGCCCATACCAGAATGATCTCACATTCTGAATTTCCCTGAATAAGTAGACAGAGCCAAGTTTATTGGTTTTAAAGGATACAAAAAGCCTGACCTATGGAGTTTTGGGCCCCTTTACTGTACTTGCTATTCCATACAGAGGCCCAAGGCCCCACGTTTTGATCTTTTCCCCCAGGAGATGCTTCCATTTGACTATATTTCTCAGGAGTTTAAGCAGACTGATAGGAATTTCTTTATCAAAGAGTGAGCTCTCATAGGAGCTGCCCCACCAGCTTTCTACCTCCTGTCTGGGAGAGCCAAAGATGTGGCTGAAGGAAAACCAGATGGCCAATTTCACAGCTCAAGCCAGATCTTGGGACTTGACCAATATAGTTGAGCTCGACTATGTTGTATCTGCATTTATCTAGCAGTTAACTTCCTTACAACTGCGAGCAGAAACTGCTTCCACAGAAATCATAATGCTTAAGAGGGTTCAGGGTAGAATTTATCCAAATCCTCAGCACATTCATCCCTGGATTCGAACGACCCTCCACATCAGGTCCCTGAGAGCACGAGGCAGCTCCGTGCTGGAGTGGTCCCCTTTACCTTTCGTGGGCTGTCCACGTAGGTGGGAGTCATGGCAACACTGCTGCTCTCAGCCGGCTGGGAGGAGCTCTTGGCACCAAGCACAGCTGCCTGCTGTTCTCCTAGACACCTGAAAGGTGAAAAACACGTCTGTAGCTTGCTGAAAGGCCCCTGGTAAAGGGCCCATGTCAGCCAAGATGAAATGAAGGCAGTTCTGTTGTCACCTCTGAAACACACACTTCTGCTCTGTTTCTCCTTCAGGCCCGACAAATACCCTTAATTGCATTCATTGTCCTGAACAATCAGCCTTCCTCCAAGGTAAAGAAGAAAAGAGCCCAGTTTATTTATTTATTTATTTTTAAAAAGATTTTATTTATTTATTTGACAGAGAGAGACACAGCGAGAGAAGGAAGACAAGCAGGGGGAGTGGGAGAGGGAGAAGCAGGCTTCCCGCCAAGCAGGCAGGGCTCGATCCCAGGACCCTGGGATCATGATCTGAGCCGAAGGCAGATGCTTAACGACCGAGCCACCCAGGCGCCCCGAAAGAGCCCAATTTAAAAAGCACTATGGCGGTACCTATTACTTTGAAAAGTGACGTGACATGGTGTGAGTGACTCCATCCATGAACACCATTTTTTTAATCTGCTGGGAAGACTTGTTCTCAGTTTTTCTTAAATATACCAGCAGAAGCACATTCTGAAAATTAGGGTTGCATTAACATGTGGCATAAACTATATGGGGAAATGTGTTGATTCCCCATACATTTTGAAGGCTTATATGCTAATTTTTCAAATGTAAGCCCTTATATCCCTGCCTCACCCCCCAACCACACAAATCTAACAGGCACTATCTCATAACCCAAGACAACTATGGTTTCTTAGGACATCTTATCCCATCTCAGTTCTGATGCACATAAAAGCGTACTTCCATGTTTATTTTTCTTTTATCTGTACTAAAAATAACTATGGGCTATCGTAACTTAAATGCTCCCCCAAATTAGACTGCTTCAACACATCACTGAATTTTTATTTCGTAGATTCCAGAAGTCTCACATTATATATAGTCTTAAGTCTTCATTCTTATTGCAACATATACTTCGTGTGGTGGACACTGTGAGGCGCCGCCCAGATCCCTCTGCTGTGGCCTTGCTGCCACAGTATCTGGGCACATTGTCCAGCTGGCTCAGCTGTCGGCCCCTTCAGGGACAGCCCCAACTGCAGAGCTCTTGCTGCCCCTCCCCACCCCCACCCCCCGCAGCGGCCCACAGACAATGAATGATCAACGAGGGGGTGTATAGGTCTGGCCATGTTGGTCCAACTGGGCTCATCCCTGAAGGCTCTTCTAGCTCCAGGGCTTGAGTGAGGTGGCCCAAGGCTGTCCCTGGCCCTGCGCTGCACCTGGACTTCTCCCTCTGTCCATTTCCTCCTCCCTCCCGCACATCCTGAGCCCACGGACTTGCCTTAATAAACATACTGCATGTTAAACTCCATCTCAGTCTGCCTCCCCAAGAACCCAGTCTGTGAGACTGCCCTACTCTTACATTCTGACATGTTTGTTACAGATTGTCAAGCCATCTCATACCGGAGATTAAAAATCAGTTTCCATGGTAACCTGTTACACTCTTTTTTCCCCCCTACTTTTTATTATGGAAAAATTTCAAACACAAACACAAGTAAAAAGGCTAAGATAATGAGTCCCTACAAACCCAGCCCCCCAAATTATATACTTAGAGCCAATCATGTTTCATCTATACCCCTTATCTACACACCCCAATTATTTTGAAGCAAAACTCATACATATCATTTCATCCATAAGAACTTCAGTACGCACTGTATCCCTAAAAGAACTTTTGAAAAAACATAACCACAATTCCAATACACTTGAAAATTTTTTAATTTTCTAATATCAAATATTTCGCCAATTGTCTCCCCAAAATCATTTGTACAGTTTGTTCAAAACAGGTTTCAACTAAGGTCCCTACGCTGCAATAAGTTATGTCTCTTAATTCTCTTTTAAGCCATAAATTCCTCTTCATTTTTCTTTATCTTTACAATTTATTTGTCGAAGAAAGTAGCTCATTTGTCCTGTAAATTCACAGTCTGGATGTGCTGATTTTCTCCCTTTACTGTTTATCATGTTCCTCTGTGCCTTGTTTACTTACTTCCTGAGAACTAGAAGTTCTATCTAATGGCTTGAGCAGTTCAGGTTCAATTTTGGGCAAGAACTCTTAAGTGGTGTGTATTTCTATCTGGAGGCCTATAATGTCTGGCCCTCTCTCTCTGGTGATATTAGTGGCCACTGGTGAACTCTGTTAGATCCAGAAGTTTGTTAAAGATCACACATGGTAATAGTCTATCATTCCTTCTGAAGCTATGAGCTGCAATATTGAACAAAGACAAACCTCCCTACACCAATTACTTGTTTACTCTGAGGTATAATTCATAGAGGAAAAGCAGAACAAACGCTCAATTCTTTCCCATGTCCCTACACCATACTGTCTCTCTCTATCACATTGAAGTGTGTTTTCCTCTGAGCCTCATCCACAAATGCACACTGTAACATTCTCTCGTACTTCCCCAAGGCTGCGGGGACAGGAAGCCCTGGTTACCCCTCCCGTGTCCCCTCAGATGCACATGACAATCCCCATTTACTGAGTTGCCTTCCTTGTGGGGACCTGTGGACTAAGAATCAGGGATTCAGAGGCGAGTAAAACCCTGTCCTTGCCCTTGGAGGCTCCTGTCTAATGGCTCAGAAGGGAACCTGCCCGAAAACAAGCAGTTATACTATATATATGTATATGTGAAAACATACACGGAGGCACACTGCCTTCTGCCGGGACGGAGTTGCCGGCCAAGCCTCCACGGAAGCAGTGACAAAAGCCTTTTGGTGGTCTCTATCCTGACTTGGCTGTCATCAGGTTATCCTCATCTATTAGGAGCAGCTGAGCCAGAACCAGCTGCCCAGACTGGTCCCAGCCATGCAGACAATGAGCAGAAGACTGAGACTTCTGGGGCCTCTCTCTATCTTCCACAAGAGCCTGACAAAACGTACATGACTTCAGATACCGACTAGAAGGGAAATGGAAGAAACAGACACAGTTTATGGTAAGATGGCAGGACTACAGATGAAATTTTATAAATTCTTTTCCATATCGCTATAGCATTGTTTTTCATAATAAATAAAATTGGATCTGCTTGGTGCTGCAAAAGCAAAAGAAAAGCACACAAATAAAAAACACCGTGAGCAAACATATAAAGGTCTGACTCCCTCTGCTCTACCTCCTGCATTGAGAAAACATAGCAAGTCACCCAAGAGCAGTCATCTGGGGAGAGAATAAATCTCGGGTCTCTCTGTCCTGCCTCCTGCTGTGAGGTTAGCTGAGAATCTTTCCCTACACATGGGGGGACACTACCACCCCAACTACCCTTCCTCTTCCAGTCTGAGCAGAAAGAGGCTCCTTGGAGCATATTAAACGATGACTCACTGACAAATTATAAATAAGATCTCCCCCACCCCCAGCTTCACACCGCTCCCAGCAACATATGTTCCTTGTTCTTTTTTCCAGCGGGAAAGATCTGTGATTAGTTACAGGGAGAACCTGCCAGGCTGAGTTCTGGGCTCTTCCCTTGGTCAGACAAAGTAAACAGACCCAGTTCCCTCAGTAATGAGCCCAACATTTGCCCACACCCCCCAGTGTCCCTTCCTTTCCATTCTTTATCACCCTCTCTCCAGCCTCTGTGGCCTCTTGCCTGACTAGTAGGAGCCTGCCAAAGGGTCTCTGCCTCTTGGGGCCCACCTCCCAGGCCTTCCTATACATGGGGCTCATCTTAGAAAATACTTCTACCAAAGACACTGACTGGATATTTCATGATATTAAGGAATGACTATAACCTTTTAGAGAAATTACAGTATTAGGGTTCTTTTTTTTTTTTTAAAGGGGTACTTCTCTTTCAGTGATACATACTGAAATATTATAGATGAAGAAATATGATGCCTGAAATTTAATAAAGAATAAAAAGGGAAGGTGAGAGCAATGCATATGTTGCAATAAATGAAGTAAGATTGGCCATGAGTTGATAATCATCGAAGCCACGTGACAGGTAAACAGGGATTTATCATACTAGCCTAGTTTATCTGTTTGAAATTTTCCATTAAAATTTAAATTTTCCATTAAAATAAAAAAACTTGCAAAGGATCCCTCTTGCTATGAGAATGTGTAAGGACAGCTTGGCATCCAACTTCCCACCTGTCGGTCCAATTGCATCTCCACGATGACTCAAGCTCACTCAATGTGACTTCTGGAAAGCCTAATGTGCACAGGTTCCTGCTGGGCACCACACAGCCCAGACAGACAAGCTCTAGCCTCCCCCAACATCTGTATAGGGACCCTCAGCACCCCTTCCTCTATCATTCCATGACTACTTACTGTACACATCCTATGTGCCAGGCACAACCCACAGCCTCTACTCTCAGAGCACAGGCAAGCCAGGGGGACTGTGAGCAAACCTTGGAGAATTCTGGAAAGGGCTCTGATGGATGTCGGCCCAGGATGCTGGGAAGCACAGAATCTGAGTTGGCTGGGAGGACGAAGGGGCAGGGAAGACTCCCAGAGTGGGTGCCACCTGCACACGGAGGTACTTTCTCCTCTTGCCCAAGTCCCGCCCCCACTCCCCCCCACCCCCTGCGCCTCTGTATAGATGCTTCCTTTCCTGCAAGGCCAACTCAAATCCCCCCTCCTGGGATGCTGTCACTTCCCCCCCAGGCAAGATGTGGCCCTACCAGTGTCCTGGGAAATGCAGCACTTAATGTTTAGGAAGGGACCACACAAATGCCTAGAGAAGCTGGCCAGGTCACACGCCTGAGGGAATAAGGCAAGTCCAAGACTAGAGGGTGTGCTGGTTCTCCGGTAAACCAGAGGGCACGTACCCATTCTAAAGGACCAGCCTTCCCATGGCTGGGTATGCATGTGGACCCAGTACTATAACTGAGGCTCTTCTATTTCTCAAAAGGCTGGATTTTATCTATTATCTGTAATACAGTGTTGTGCTATGTTATCTGTAATATATTGTTGTTGTTTTAAAGATTTTATCTATTTGAGAGAGAGAATGAGAGAGAGAGAGCACATGAGAGGGGGAGGGTCAGAGGGAGAAGCAGACTCCCTGTCGACAGGGAGCCCGATACGGGACTCGATCCTGGGACTCCAGGATCATGACCTGAGCCGAAGGCTGTCGCTTAACCAACTGAGCCACCCAGGCGCCCTGTAATATATTGTTTTATATATAATATAATCATGTATCATGTTGTATATACTATATAATTTCATATAAAATCCAAATTTGTATTTGAAATCTTCAAACTAAAAAAACATGGCTCAGATATTTTAAAAATATTTTGTGCCTTTAGGGCAGTGAAACTACTCTTTAATGGTAGCTACATGTCATTACAAATTTGTCTGAAACCCACAGAATATACACCACCAAGAGTGACCTGTAAGGTAAACTGTGGACATTGGGTGATGATGATGTGTCAGTGCAGCTTCATCAATTATAACAAATGGCCCACTCCGCTGGGGGTGTTGACAATGGAGGAATCCATGCAGGTGTGGGAGACAGGGCGTATATGAGAAAGCTCTTCCTTCCATTCAAGTTTGCTTTGAACCTACAACTCTAAAAAATAAAATCTATTAAAAAAAACAAACAGGGGCACCTGGGTGGCTCAGTCGTTAAAGCGTCTGCCTTCAGCTCAGGTCATGATCCCAGGGTCCTGGGATCGAGCCCCGCATCGGGCTCCCTGCTCGGCGGGAAGCCTGCTTCTCCCTCTCCCACTCCCCCTGCTTGTGTTCCCTCTCTCACTGTGTCTCTCTCTGTCAAATAAATAAAATCTTTAAAAACAAACAAACAAACAAACAAAAAAACAAAGAAACAAACAAAGAAACCTCACTTTGTGGGCCAAAGCAAATGTATTTGTAGTTCAAATTAAGCCCCAGACTGCAAGTTTATAATTTCTGCATATTTCATGTTATTTGACACTTACCAGGTATTAACCCAGCTCTCTGCTCATGTATGCATCTTTTTCTTAATTTCAGGCTCCGTACAGATAGAAATCATATTTCACCCCCACTCACAAGGTAGGGTACTGAAAACCTGTGGAGCCTGTGTGGTGGGGACGAGTCTCTCCCCAAGCAGGAACTTACTTCTGACTGGCCTCCATCTCCAACAGGGCAGACAGAGCTGAGGTTCCCTTCTTCCCAACCGGGGGGCCGGTCGACTCAAGGGAGTGTGTGGCAATGGGCCCGGTCATCTGTAAGCCTTTCATGGTGGTCCCTTTCTAAAGCAGAGAAGAGAAAACAAGGCCATCAGCCCAAGTGGGCTCCCTCAGTGGATGCCACTCACAGCCCAGAGCATGCCTGCTGCATCTGTTGTGTGTCAGGCTCTCTGGGAATCCAATTCACAGAGGCAGCAACACAGGCCCTTGTTACTCGGTAAATGCTGAAAACTGCTTTTTGCTTGAGCTGAAGGCTCAAATGCCTGTTGACTCAAAACAAACTGCCTCTTTGAGGTGGATTCCACAGATCATTTCACCCTTGTCCTGGATCTAGAAAGTAAATAATGGAAGAAGAAACTAAGTCCCAGAGAAGTTAAGTGACTTATCCCGAATCCCACTGGAGCTGGAGGTCAAGCTTTAATCATCTGGTTTCAAGACCAAAGCTCTTTCCACCATGCACGGTCTTTTGGAAATGTTTCTTTCTTTTCCTTCCTTCCTTCCTTTCTTTTTTTTTGAAATGTTTCTAATCATAAGCAATGCTGTGGACAAAGCGTAGCTCGTATGCAGGGAAGAACACTGAACTTGGGGTTAAAAACACAGTTGGTGATGCAACACTACTCACACTAAAAAGGAATGAACTACTGAGAAGAGCGACAACTTGGATGAATCCCAGAGGCATTGTGCTGAGTGAAAGAAGGCAGCTTCTCAAAAGATTACATTATACGATTCCGTGCATATGACTTTTGGAAAAGACAACAGCAAAATGACAGAGAACAGACCAGTGGCTGCCAGGGGTTAGAGGTGGGAGCAAAGTGTGACTATAAAGGGTAGCATGAGGGGTTTTTTGGGAAGTGACAGAACTACTCCGTATCCTGATTATAGTTGTAGTGGTTACATGAATCTATACATCTGTTAAAATTTACAGAACTGTATACACATACCCAGAATTCCAGATCTGCCCTTAGTTGGCTGGGTGTCCTCAGACATATCCCAACCCCATGAGTAAATAAACCGGCCAGAGAGAGGCCCCCGAGACAGGAAGAGACCAAGCACAGTCCCCAAGGGGCCTAAGGAGCCCGACCCGCATCATGCGATCCGAACGATGTCGCCTGCGGATCCGGTTCAAACCCTCCACAAAGCGGATAAAGCCATCCAAGAGCTGCCACTCATCCTCGTCTGCCCGGGGCCTGTCCCCATAGATGTCGCAGTGGGCTTCCCCTTCTGTGATGCGCTTAGTGGCAGTGACACAGGCTGGCAGCAGCAGGAAACGGGTCCTCCAGAACTTCAGAGACTCAATTAAGCTGTGAAGGGCCAAAGGAAGGACAGGGGGTGGTGGAGAACAAAAGCAGGTCATGAAAGCACTCACGGGGCACCTGCGTGGCTCAGTCGGTTGAGTGTCTGACTCTTGGTTTCGACTCAGGTCATGATCTCAGGGTCAGGAGATCAAGCCCCTCATCGAGCTCTGCATTCAGTGGGGAGTCTGCTTCTCTCCCTTTCCCTCTGCCCCTCCCCCCTGCTCTCCCTCTCTGTCTCTCTAAAAGAAGTACATCTTATGTATGGTGATTAACATAACAATACGAAAAATTTTTAATTTTTTTAAAAATGGGAAAAAAAATAAATAAAAGAAGTACATCTTTAAAAAAAAAAAAAGCACTCCCAGTAAAGGTCCCATTTCAAGCCTGTCTTTGCAGTTGGTATGTGAGGGGCCATCTCCCCTTGAGAGAGTGTTCGTCTGATGCTACATCTCATGGCTTCATTTGAAACACAAGCTCTAGAGGAAGAGCACAAAGGGTACTTTTAATTTACATCCCAGAAATGTCAGGATGGTTGGTTCTGTGCACCCAGACCCAATGGGGTTGTGGTTTTTTATCATCACAATCATAAATGACACATAGAAATTAAAAATCAAAAATCAGTACCACAGGTAGTCAGGAAAAGGTTCAGAACATGATCTACACTGACATTCCATCAAAGAGCACTTCATCACTGAAGTTTCTGTCGTTGTTGTTTTGTGGTAAAACGTGCATAACAAAATATACCACTTTAACAATCCTTCAGTATACAATTCTATACCATTAAGTACATCCACATTGTTGTGCAACCAATACCACCACCCTTGTCACTGAGTTTTTTAACTAATGCAGATGTGCTTTTGTTCTTGTTTTCTAAAACAAACATCATTTTGTAATCAGAAAAAAAGGACAGATGTGTTAAAAGTTGGGCACACCCAAGGTAGCTGGATGGAAAGCCAAAGTATGTTCTCTGACCTGAAGTCCTCAGAGCCGGCCGAACAGATATACTGATCTAAGTAATTCCACTTGTACTCCTCCAGCCGCTCATGGGAGAATTCCACCCAACAAGACACAAACTCCGAGTCTGAGTGGGAAGGGCAGAGGCTGTAGGTGTAGTGGATCTGGGCAGACTCATAAGGGTACCTGAAAAACAACGGGCATGCCCAGAAGTCCAAAAGAGAATCACTCCCTCCACCCAACCCCTTTCTTCTGGACCTTTCCATCTCAATACAGTTAGCAACATCCTTGGCATTCAATCCTAAAGTGCGGTAACAAACTCATCCCAAGGGACTGGTAATGGAAATTTCTCAGTTCTTAAGCTCTGTCATTCTTTTATCCTCCCATTCTTTATTTCTTATTGGCTTGCTAAGAATCAGGCTAAACATTGTAAGCTGAGTCAAGTCCCTTTTAGAAGCAGGTGAGCTACAACGGTAAAATAACCCTAGAAAACAAACAAGTAATTCCAAGAAAAGGAAAACCAACCACTCAACCTACCTTGGTTTTAATTATGTGTCACATAACTAATTCCATATTCACTAGGTGCACAGTATGTGTTATAAAGAGAAGTTCAGAGTGGACACAATTCAGGACAGTAGCTGAAAACCTGAAATTTCCAAGGACTCACTTGGGAAGGTAACGTGTCACTGTGATCATCTTATCCTTCAGCGTCACTTTGTGGAACGTTCTGCCCATACTCAGCCAGTACTGGTCCTCCTCCTCAGGGCGGTTTCGGGACACAAGGCCTAATGGGGGGGGAAAAATCATATCCTCCATCTGGCTGAGGAACATTCTTTTAACAGGCAATAGCTTCTCTTCCATATACAGTCAGAAAAGGAGAAACAAAAGAAGCAACTCTTTCTCTTGAGGGACGGTTTCATGGAAAAGACTTATTTTTGGTTAAAAATAAAAAAGTCCTAAAGTTGGCAGAATTTTCTGTCACTAAACCAGCCAGCAGCAGATTAGAGCCCAGAAGTGCAGACAGCATCCAGAAGACGCACTCAAAGAATGAACAGCTTGATTCCTTGGCCTCTGAGAAGGAAAGTTCTAGATTAGATGTTAATAGGCCAAGAGTCAACTCCGGGACTGAAATGGAACTCTGCTCCGCTCAAGCACAAGCTGCCGCCCCAGCAGTGGAGGTCCTCACCCCATGGTGGCAGCCGACCTGGCGTCAGCTTCCATGACTCCCACACCACAATAACCCTGCATCAGTCTTAAAGGACTACTGTCCTTTCTTCTCCAAACATTTGCTTGGGTTGCTTTTTCTGCCTTCTCTTCCTGAGCCACCACCAAGATCCTATGGGTCATTTAAAGTCACCATCAAAGGCCACTTCCTCCAGAAAGCTAACAGATCCCATCAGCTGTCTGAATTGTACCCTGGATGTGGCTCCACATGTGCGTGTCTCACAGCCGGACAAACTGGAAGTTCCAGGAGGCCGGGGACCCAATCTTGTTTGTCTTTAAATTTTCCATAGCACCTGACAAAGTGCTGTGCCCACAGCAGGTATTTGAAAAATATTAGTTGAACTGAGTTGTGCAACAGAAAGAGGGAAATTATGAGGAATCGAGAAAAATACAAGCTTTCAAGAGAGTGACACTATGCCTCGATGGACAAGAGAACCAAGACAAGATTCCCATGATCTCGAGATAAAACAGTCCCCTCGTGTGGTTCTGAGAAACAGTCACACAGTGTAGGCAGCATGGGAGTTGTCAGGATGAGAGAGGGTGGCAGAGGTTGAAAGGACCTTCATCGGGAATGTGGAAACTTCCTAGGTGATAGCAGCGAGGGACAGGCTGCCTATAAGAGGCCAGGCTTTGACTCAGAGGACCCTGGGTTAAACCCCAGCACTTTCATTTGCCAGCGGTGTGACCTTGGGTACCAAATCTCCAAGTCTCACTTTCCATAACTAGAAAGTGGGCTTGCGTCTGACTTCAGCTCAGGTCATTATCTCAGGGTCCTGGACCAAGCCCTGCGTCAAGCAGGGTGTCTGCTTGTCCCTCTGCCCCTCCCCCCACTTGTGTGCTCTCTCACTCTCTCTCTCTCAAATAAATAAAATCTTTAATAAAAAAAGAAAAGGAAGGAGGGAGGGAGGGAGGGAGGGAGGGAGAGAGGGAAGGAAGGAAGGAAGGGAGGGAGGGAGGGAGGGAGGGAGGGAGAGAGGGAAGGAAGGAAGGAAGGGAGGGAGGGAGGGAGGGAGGGAGGAAGGGAGGGAGGGAGGGAGGGAAGGAAGGAAGGAAAGAAGGGAGGGACGGAGGGAGGAAGGAAGGAAGGGAGGGAGGAAGGAAGGGAGGGAGGGAGGGAGGGAGGGAGGGAGGGAGGAAGGAAGGGAGGGAGGAAGGAAGGAAGGAAGGAAGGAAGGGAGGAAGGAAGGGGGCTCGCCCCCCATCCTGCATTCCTTCTTTCTTGCCACCACCCCCTGCTGGCTATCAGGAAGACAAGGTCATGGGATAATGTTCATGAGCACCTAGCATAGTACCGACCCCACTCTGAATTACTTCCTGTTTTTATCCTGCACAGCACTCTTTACAATCTGCAATCAAATAAATACTTGTGGTTTAATAGTTCAACAACTATCTCACCCAGTAGACAATAAACTTGGAGGACAAGGGCTGATGCTGTTCTGTTCACTACTGAAACAGGGTCCGTCTCATAACCTGTAGTCAACCAATCTTCAATCAGATGCGATCTCACTTATGGTGGTCACTTTTCCAGTAGTAATAACAACGATACCATTTCTGTTACTACAGAAATAAAAGGATTAAATTTATTGAAGGGGGAAAAGGTACAGAAAGGGTACAGTAAGGTGAGTAGACTCTGGCCAGCTAGCCATGACATAAGGCTCATGAATCAGCCAGAGCAGAACTGGATGCCAGAGGAATTATGAACCACCAAGGGAAACTGATCAGCTATTCTAGAGAAAAGCAGGTAGGAAGGCTGGATGGGGCCACTGACACTAAAGGTGAAGTCATTCCACTACTCTTGGGATAAAGAACAAAATCCTTCACATGGCCCTGTGAGGCCTGGGTCTCCTGACATGTCTGGACACATCTCTGGCTTACTCCCTGTACTCCACCCCACCAGTCTTCTTTTTGGTGCTCAGAAAGTATCACAGTGCCTCCTGCCACAGGATTTTTGCACATACTAATCCCTCTGCCTGGCATGCTCTTCCTACCTACTCCTGCCCACCACTCCCAACCTGCTTCTCTTCCTAGTAACTCCTTCACACAGTTCAGGTCTCACCTCAAACATCACCTCCTCAAGGAAGCCATCCCTGACCCTCCAGACCAGATCAAGTCCTGTATTAAATATTCTCATAGCCCTTTGATTTTTCCCTCACAATCTTTATCACAACAAGTAATTATACTTCATAGTTTGACTTACGTTATTTTTCCTCACTAAATGCCCCACAGAGTGGGAGCTTCAAAAATACTGTTGAATGAATGAATGAATTCCTATATTCATCAACCCATTTTGTTGTACACCAGGCACAATGGGTTCCATTATAGAGGATAAAAACATGGAGCCGACAGTCCTGGCACTCAGGAACATTACTGTTCAGTGCAGTCTAGAACATGAAAAGCTTCATCATAAGCAACAAGACCTGAACTGGATGGACCACCAAGCTCCCCCTCACAGGTCCACACTACTTTGATCCTGTGGCCCAAAGCACTTTAATGGAGCCAAAGATGATCTGAGGCTTTGAGCTGGGAGTTTAGGAGAGCGGGGAGGCTCATTAGCGACAAGGAGGAAGCAAGAGACTACTGGTTACTCATGGATTGTTCTGGGAAGCGATCACTGCTTCTTGATTCTAGGCACCCACACTTTATTCTCTCTACCTGACTTATTTTAGAAGAGCTCTGCAGAGCCTGGCTGTAACTCAACTGGCCTCACTGAGTCTCCGTCACTTATTAGTCTCTACCACTCACAGATGATCCATTCCTGCTTCATCGTGCTAAGCTTCAGTGACAAAAAGAAGAAGATGCATCCATAATGGGATGAGGGGAGTATAAATTCCAGGTTTAGGTAACATCTGAGAACCTGCTGTGTGCCAGCTACTGTGCTAGAAATAAATATCGGGTCTAAAATATTCACAATGTACTTTGATAGTTCACGCCTGGCTCAGCTCCCTGCTATTGGTAGGTGTTGCCAAAGCCAGGCTGTGACATTCCTGAACTGGATCATATCCCCCTTCCTTAAAAGGAGAACAGTAGATTAAAGAGAGTTTTAAGATAAATCTGGGCCTAGCAGAGACTTTATTCCTCATGTAAAAGTAAAATTCAGAAAGCAAAACTTTGGTGTTGAAAAATTACTCCCGAATTTATCTGTTCCCTACCATCCTGAGAACCTACTTGCACAAATTCAGTAGAAAAGAAAAAATACAAGTCCAAGGAGAACAACTCACCTCGACTGTACAGCGGGCTGCTGCTCAGTGGGGGCGGGACGGCAGGGTTGGGTTTCTGTGCCTTGGGCTGCACTATGATTTGGTAGCCCTGCATGAGACGCTGGCAGATGAACTCTTCAAACACCTGCTGGGCCGTCATCTGCACACCCTCCTCGTCCCTCCTGAGGAAACAGACGGTTGTTCACATGGACATGCTTGGTCCAGGGCGGAGTGACACTCAAGAGTCCACACTCCCATCCTCTGTTTTGCTTTGACTCCACAAGTCAGCCCTGATGACCATTCCATGGTGGTTCATAAAACTAACAATCTATAAATCAGTTTGCGGAGACATGATCAGTTCAAAGAGGCAGAAGAAGAAGGCAGGTAATAACTAACAGCCATTCCTAGAATAGCTCAAATAGCTAATCTTAGAAAAAAAGATCAGATCTAGTGTGTCCAGAAAAACCACCACAGAAAAATCTGAGAAAGCACCCGTGAGGAGAAATGGCTAGAGAAGGCATGTCAATAGAACCCTGAAGAAAAAAATGACAGTTCTTTGCTTCATAAGATTCTCTAACCAGAAAAGGAAGACACAGGTTTGAGAATGCAGTGCCTGGACGCCCATCCGAAGCCCTCCTCTGACACCGACCTGTCGATGTCTGCTTCCGGAAGGAGATCGTAACAGCCCTCCGTGTAGTCGTTCTGCAGGCCCTGGCGGTCGGGGAAGTAGTCGGTGGTGAGGGGGAGGCACGCCGGAGTAGTGAGAGACTTCCAGTCCACTCCAACTGTGCAACAGAAGCCTGGCACTACAGGGGGAGCAGACAGTGTCAGAACTGCCTCGTGTAACAGAGGAGAAAGGTGCGTGCGGTCACCAGGGCAGGTGCGGGGGACGTGGGCGGGGCGGGGGGAGGAGTTCACAGTGACCGGTGATAACATTGCCAGGAAACGGACGGAGAGGAAGAAAGGGGGTGGGGGGAGGGAGAAAGAGAGAAACAGAGTTTGTTAGACAATGCAGTGCACGTGCTCATCCAATCCCATCATGCAAATGGGATTCACAGCTGGTACTTTTCATTTTCTGCCGATCTTAAGCTACAGCCACAATGCCAGTGAGGTTACTGCAGGGCAGCGCAGGCAGTTACATGTGGAAGAAATCAACATTCCGAGGGCTCAAGCCAGAGCCTCTCTGGAGGACTGCAGAGTGGCTGGTAGGGAAAGAAGAGCTCAGCCAGATTTCGGAGCGAACAGCACATGGTAGCAGAATTTAGGAATACTTTCAGAATTGTAAAAATAAGTCACAGATCCAAAAGGGTAGGAGGAGAAATCAAGGAAGGATGTCTGGGAAGGTCACAAGGCCAGAACTTCAAGAGACAGAGTTTAACAATCTAGAAAGGAAAGCTGCAATCAGCAGAGCGGGCCCGATCACATGGTGTCCTGAGTTGCCTGCTCTTTGGTTAAAGCAGGGTTTCTCCACCTTGGCACCACTGACATTTTGGACTGGATAATCCTCTGTCATGAGGGGCTACGCTTTGTATTACAGGATGTTGGACAGCATCCCTGGACTGTACTTACTAGATGCCAGTGGCATCTCCTGATTGTAAAAACCAAGAACGTCTGCAGTCGTTGCCCCATGTCCCCCCAGGGAGCAAAATCCTTCCCCAGTTGACAATCACTGAGTCAAGGTAATAGGGCAGTTATCTCTTTAAGTAATTTAAGCAAAGATTATTTTTCAAATCTCTAGACAAGGGGGCAATATGAAGCAGAAATACTCCATGCCTTTGTATCTTAGTCTCAAGCAAGGGACACCTTCAACACTTTATCTTTTGCACAGTGCTAATGTGGCTTACAGCGTGATACACCGCTGTTGTCTCATCAGCCCTCACATGGCCTCCTTGGAGCAGGGACTGCAACATCATTGAGCCCTTTAAACACCTGGCCAAGCCAAACCTCCCAGAGGTTACATGATCAGAAGCCTCTCTGCTTAGGGATCTTTCCACCATATAATGACAGAGACACACACTACCCAATACAACAGAGTCCCACTGAACCCAGAGTTAAAGGACAAGAAGAGGACCCGTGTGCTAAGTCGTAGTGGGAAACATGCCCCATGTAGCCACCACTGCCTTGGGAAAGATGATTTGACCTACAAGGGGCCTAACTCCATGGTCTACACAGGTCTGGGGTATTTTGTTTGTGTGTTTGAATTCTGTCTTAGTGTGGTAAGAACACTTAACATGAGTACTACTCTCTTAACAAATGTTTAAGGGTACAACACAGTATTATTAACTTGGGCACAGTGCTGTACAGATCTCTAGGATTTATTCATCATGCATAACTGGAACTTTACACCACTGATCCACAACTCCCCACTTCTGCCTCCCCTCAAGCCCCTGGCAACCACCATTCCACTCTCTTATTCTATGAGTTGGACTATACACAGGTCTTGTTAACTTATTAACACTTCAAGAATTGAAAACACAACCCAAAAAGAGCCTAACTGATCACCCCAATTTCCCTATATGCCAGATGAAGGGATGAGCTTATTCCTACTTCCTTGTTTTAGGACCAGGAGCAGAAGGAAGACACCAGATCAAAACCACAGTGGAAAGCCAGAAGCAGAAGACAGTCATATCTTTATGCCCTCTTAGATCATTCTGACTCTCATTAGCTTCCTGTCCCTCAGGATCATAAATATCTTTCAGACATGTTTTCTGCTGGGTACACACCGAGATACAGAGAATTCAAATGCCTGGGCCCAAATCCCATGGTGAGAAAAGCTCCTGATTCTTAGTTTAATGGTGTTCTTTCCCTGGGAAAAGACTGTGGCCTCTTTTCTAACTCCAGTATCTTCAGGCCCTATAAAGAGGGCCTCTGAGGAGGATCCACATCAATACCATTAACAATGATAAAAATGGATTACAAAATCCAGTGCTAGGGTTGTACAGAAGAAATAGGCTCATCTATTCATTGCTGGAAGCTTTCTGGAAAATAATCAACCTCCCAACCATACTTTGGGGGAAATATATCCCAAGGATGTGAAGGGAAAGAAAAGATATACCCACTGCATCACGCATTATACCTGCATTCTACATTATTGCTAAGAAACTAGAAACCACCCAAATGATCGCCAATAATAAATGATTATTCAAACTGGGATGTGATGTGTTTGATACTGCTATTAAAAATGACTAATACGGGACACCTGGGTGGCTCAGTCAGTTAAGCGTCTGCCTTCGGCTCAGGTCATGATCCCAGAGTCCTGGGATCAAGTCCCGCATCAGGCTCCCTGCTCAGCGGGGAGCCTGCTTCTCCTTCTCCCACTCCCCCCTGCTTGTGTTCCCTTTCTCGCTGGGTCTCTCTCTGTCAAAAAAATAAATAAAATCTTAAAAAAAAAAAATGACTAATACAAGGGGCCTGAAGAAATAGCAAAACGGTTATTAAGGTAATCATAAGCGGGGGAAAAAAGACTTAATATATCTCTACTGGTTATAGCTAAGTAAAATAAAGTCTATCGGGTGGTAGGATTTTTTTCTGGTACTTTGCTATTGTGGACATTTAGATGTGCTCTTCCTGCACAGATATTTCAATAGATAAAGATGATTAAAAAAAAAAAAGCAACCCAGTCAAACAATTTCAACTACAGGTCTGTAAACAGTTCCAGGCCCTCTTATTCCTTTGTTCCTCAGAGCCATCACAAGGCCTTTTAAGGGCTAAAGCCAGCTCTGCACGGGTGTAAGGACTTCATGGGAATTCTGTTACCATTCTCACGTGCCCTGAATCACATTCCAGAACAGGTTACCTGGCCACTCCCCTCTCACTTTCCATTGGAGAGGCTGGAGAGTTTTCCCTTACCACGTTGTCTTCTGGTACCCCAGAGATGTGTGGACTGCCCACAGGGTTCCCCCTTGCTTCCTCATGCTCTGACCACCCCCGCCCTGACCCCACCCTAATCAGCTGCCCCTTCTTACTTGGGTCTGGAGAGGTAGAAACACTGTCCTCTAGAGAATCCTTATTCTGAGTCCTAGGATTCATACCTATGGAAAGATGAAAACAGGTTGTTTTAATAAGGCTCATTCTGCAGAAAAAAAGTTCTGGCCAGTTATGGTTGAAAGAGCCCAAAATTATAGCTAAAAATAAAAATGTGAACCAAGTACAAATTCTATGCTGAATATTTCAAATAGCACAAAAGAGTCAATCCAAGAAAAATGAGCAATCTAAAATTTGGGAATGAGCCAAAACTTTGCTCTGAGGTTATCAATACCATTCTTTGCCCAATGACACTGTTAGCATTCACATACATGCGCGTGCACACACACATACACACACCAGCAAAAAGCAACCCACCACTTATTGTAAGAAAATGGACACATTTCAAAGTCATTTCAACGAACTGGAGAAATCTTTTGCAAATACAAAATGACCCACTTAAAGTTTATTTCACTCATCGGTCATCCTTATCATCTGGAATTTTCTTCTCCAAATCATGGCTTTCTGGAATATGACCTAGGACACATCAAAACTCACCACTTTTAAGAGAAAAACAATGATTTTCCCTATAGGTGGTCTGAAAGGAAAAACAGAAAGGTTCTCTGAAATGCAACTTTTTGCCTGAAAAGTAACAGAACTAATTTTAAAGTACATATCAATATTTAAATATCCCTTTCTAAACATATATATTTACTAGAAAATTATGATACTATAGAAAAGATTGAAAAAATCCTCACCCAACTGTCAACAGTGGCTATCTGCGAGAAAAAGGTGGAGGAGGTAGTGGGAGGTAAATCAGAACTTGTAGTTTTTATTCTAGGTATTTGTGTGTCATGTGAATCTTTTATAACAAGAATAAATATATATAAATCCCTTGTGGAATCTTTGAAAAGACAAGCCACAACATGGGAGAAAGCATCTGCAAATCACTTATTTGGCAAAGGACTTGACCCAAAATATATAGAGACCTCAAAACTCAAGAACAAGAACACAAACAACCTGATGAGAAATAGGACCAAAGATGTGAACACTTCACCAAACATATACAGAAGGCAAATAAGCACAGGAGAAGATGCTCAACATCCTCAGCCATGAGGGAAATTACCTCTACAGACCTCTTAGAATGGCTAAAATGACAAGTCCACACCAAGTGTGAATATGGATGTAGAGCCATGGAAAACCTTATCCATTGATGGTAGGAATGCAGAATGGTGCACCACTTTGGGAAATAGTTTTGTGGTTTCTTTAAAAGTTAGACAAAAAAAAGTTAAACAGACAGGGGTGCCTGGCTGGCTCAGTTGGAGGAGCATGCAACTCTTGATCTCAGGGTCATGAGTTTGAGTCCCCCATTGGGTGTAGAGATTACTAAAATAAATAAACTTTTAAAAATAATATTAATGGGGCACCTGGATGACTCAGTCAGTTGAGCATTGGACTCTTGAGTTTCAGCTCAGGTTGTGATCTCAGGGTCAAGCTCCACATAAGGCTCCACACTCAGCAGGGAGTCTGCTTGAGATTCTTGTTCCCTCCCTCTCCCTCCCCTTCTGCTCCTCCCCCTGCTTGCAGGCACACACACTCTCTTTCTCTAAAAATAAACAAATAAAATCTTTAAAAAATAATAATAATAAAAGTTAAAAAGATATTTATCATCTGACCCAGCAATTCCATGCCTAGGAAATTACTCAAGAGAAATAAAAACCAATGTTTACAAAAACCCGTTATGTAAATGTTTATGGCGGCTTGATTCATAGTTGCCAAAACCTGGAAACACCCCAAATATCTTGCAACTAGTGAAGGGATAAACAAATTAATACATACATACAATGGAATGCAACTCAGCAATAAAAAGTAATGAATATTTAACAACTTGGATGAATCTCAAATGCATTATATGCTGAATAAAAGAAGTAAGACTCAAAAAGCTACATACTGTATGATTCCATGTGCATGACATGCTGGGACAAGACAAAACTAGAAGGACAGAGAACAGATCAGCGGATTGCCAGCGGACAGGGGGTGGGGCTGAGTACAAAGGGACCACACAAAAAAATCTGGGGGGTAATGGAAATGTTCTTTATCTTGCTTGATGTGTTTGTTGGTAGTTATATGATAGTATGCATTTGTCAAAACTCACAGAACTGTACACTAAAAAGAGTGAATTCTACTGTATGTAAATTTAAAAATTAATAATTTTTAAAAATTTGACAGAGAGAGAGAGAGTGAGAGTGCACACAAGTAGGGGAAATGGCAGAGAGAGAGGGAGAAGCATCATGACCTGAGCAGGAGACAGGTGCTTAACTGACTGAGCCACCCAGGCGCCCCTAAAATTATTTAAAAATTTAGAAAGATGATGGCACTTGGCCAAAACAATTTTAGAACTTCTTTTTTGGAACTGCCTTCAGTAGATTTTTCTTTTTTTTATTACTAGTCTTCAGAATAAAAAGATAAAACTTATTAAGTCAGACAAATACAGTGTTTCATTTTATTCAAACCCTTGCTATAAGGCAGGTATGAGGTAGGTACTAATCCTTTTGTACAGACAAACTGAAGCTCAGAGAAGTGAATTAACTTAGGGAAGATCACACAGTAAATAGGTGAAAGCTGCATTTAAACTCTGCTCAGCTCTACAGATGCTTCATTTCCTGACTCTCCATCTGGGGCACCAGTTTTCAGCTATTGAAAATGTTAGCTGTTCTTTGTCAACAGCCAAAAGCCATTTGGAGCTAAATTTTCTGAAAAAGCTATCTTGGATAACAATATCCATCTTCATGCAAACACAAAGCATGGCTATTAAGAAGCAATGAGGTGGGGGGCACCTGGGTGGCCCAGTCAGCTAAGATCAAGCTCCGAGCTGGGCTCCCTGCTGAGTGGGGAGTCTGCTTCTCCCTTTCCCTCTGCCCTTCCCTCTGCTCATGCTCGCTCTCTCTCAAATAAATAAATAAAATATTTTTTAAAAAGCAATGAGGGGGATTTTCTTGTTCAGCCTGAGAACTGGTATGAAGGCAACTGGTATAAAAACAGCCTTCTCAAACCATACTGAGCACTAGGAAATTATTAAATATATTACCTCACAGGTTTAGATGCTAAATTTTGTCATTAGTGCATCTTTTTCTTTTTTTTTTAAGAAAACCCAAATCCAGACTGGGTCTATAAAAACTGAAATTCTTACACTAATAAAGGACCAGTTCAACTTATAACTGTGTGGGCAATTCTTTGAGCTCAAAGAGGCAAACCAGTAGGGATTCTCAGAGCAGCTCTGGCTTCTAGGTCAAAAGTAGCACTCTGCCATCTCCTAACAGACAAAAGAACATTTAAGGTCACCAGCCTTTTATGCCACACACACACACACATATTTTACTTTTAAAAAACAGCAATGAGGGCGCCTGGGTGGCTCAGTCGTTAAGCGTCTGCCTTCGGCTCAGGTCATGATCCCGGGGTCCTGGGATTGAGCCCCACATCGGGCTCCCTGCTCCGCGGGAAGCCTGCTTTTCCCTCTCCCACTCCCCCTGCTTGTGTTCCCTCTCTCGCTGTGTCTCTCTCTGTCAAATAAATAAATAAAATCTTTAAAAAAAAAAAAAAAAGCAATGAAAAATATTTAAAGAAAGGTATTTTGTGCTCTTTTATGAGGCTCTTTATACACAGTTTTCTTGCAGTTCAAGCCCAACAAACTGCTGCTCCCACCAGCTCTGCCTTTAAGATTTTATTTTCAGTCAAATGGACTGGCTATCGGCATATGATGGCCTCACTACTTGAGATGACTGAGGGGAGACCCCCATGGTCAATCAGCTCTGCTCCAACCTAACATTTGTGAATGAGACCTCACTCTCAACATTCAAAGCCAGATATTCAACTTGGGGAACCAATGCTGAAAATCACCATCTTAGCTTTGTCTTTTGACATCTCTTCAGAGTCAAGAAATCTGAATTTTGGGGCACCTGGGTGGCTCAGTCAGTTGAGCATCCAACTCTTGATTTTGGCTCAGGTCATGACCTCAGGGTCATGGGATAGAGCCCCATGGGCTCTGCGCTCATCAGGGAACCTGCTTAAGATTCTCTCTCTCCCTCTCCATCTGCCCCTCAGCCTGCTCGTGTACATGCACATGCTCGCTCTCGCTGTCAAAAATAAATAAATCTTTAAAAAAGAAGACGAAGAAGAAGAAGAAGTCTGAACATGTTCTTTGCTTGCTAACCTCAGGCCAAAATGGGTAATCAGTGTGGAGCCTTCAGGACTGGTCCTGGGTGACATCTACAAGCCTGTGCGTGGGGCTAGTCACTTCTCCTCTCTGGGCTACAGAAATGGCCCTTACCCACAAAAATCCCAGCCTGGCCTGGGTGAATGACTCTGAGGCCCTTTCCTCCAGCCTCAGTGTGCTATGATTTACTTTTTACTTCAGCTCTCAGGCTGCCACATGTTCCTAATACTCAACACAAATACCAAGTTGCAGATTCTGAGTCCCAATACCACAGGGAAAGAAAGCATGGCATCCAGTTGTTTTCTTTCCCAAAATTATCTACAGCATTTATAACCAAGGATGGGAATGACAGTGACTGACAAGTCTTATAAATGGGTGCCAGGGCGCCTGGGTGGCTCAGTCGTTAAGCGTCTGCCTTCGGCTCAGGTCATGATCCCAGGGTCCTGGGATGGAGCCCTGCATCGGGTTCCCTGCTCAGCGGGAGGCCTGCTTCTCCCTCTCCCACTCCCCCTGCTTGTGTTCCCTCTCTCGCTGTGTCTTTCTCTGTCAAATAAATAAATAAAATCTTTAAAAAAATAAAAAATAAAAAAATAAATGGGTGCCCAGTTAAAGAAACAAGAGGGATAAAAACTATCTCCCCAGGGCACCTGGGTGGCTCAGTTGGGTTAAGCGTCTGCCTTCAGCTCAGGTCATGATCTCAGGGTCTGGGATCGAGCCCCACGGTGGGCTCCCAGCTCAGCGAGGAGTCTGCTTCTCACCCTCCCTCTGCCCCTCCCTCTGCTTGTGCTCACTCACACTCTTCTCTCTCTTGCTCTCTCTCTCTCAAATAAATAAATAAAATTAAAAAAAAAAAAA